AGGCTCACCATACCTGTTACAATATGACCATACAATCTCTGTAAAATCAACTTAAAATCTACCAAAACTATGTAATAAAAAGGTCTACCCAAACTATCCAATCAATTAGTAACCAATTAGGCAGACCCTTGCACTATATAATTTTTTTATATATTGTAGAATTAGATTGTAATGTGTGTGGTGAACTTTAGTTGATTGGAATCCGTGCTGCAGCCACTACCGCCATTATAGCTGTTTGCTTTTATTTCACTACTATGAAAGTCAATATGTAAATCCTTGAAAATCTACAGATCTTGGAATAAATATATTCATTGTTTACGGATGTTGCCCCCATATACATCTATTATAGTGTAACCACTATGATATGTACGCAGCCCTTTCAGAAAGAAAAGTCCGGTTGTTGATCAGACTCCCAGTGTGGTCACCTCTCTGCTTACAGCCTGTGACTGGACAGTGGGGTAACAGCAGTACCATGATGAGTCTTTGTGCCCAGTCTGTTGTCCCTTTCTGTCAGCATGTTCCTTGTCAAAACATGTGCAGTGTAGCACACCTCATTGGTTCCTGTTGTTGGCACTCTCTTAGCCCAAGTACAGGGAATTGCAAGCAGCTAATATCTAGACCAGGGGTGCTCAACTGTCTGAAGAGTGAGAGCCACCTAAGTGATTTGGTAACCAGTGGCAGGCCACAATGATATGAAATAGTTAAAAATGTGGAATTTTTATTTTGAATAGTAGCCAGCTTTCAGTAGTTGCAGGAGGAAAATAGAGAGGATCTTTTCCTGTAAAGCTGTCCCACTGCCCTTCCTGTTCAAGTGTAAAACAGAATGTGACAGGGAGGCCGCATGGGCTTCCTGAAGCATGGGGCGAAGTCGCCATTGCGACCCCTGACACTACACCAGTAGTTGGGGATGTGTATGGTAAACACACTCAATCAGGGGCGGACTGACCATTTGGGAACTCGGGCAAGGACACAGGGGCCTCATGATCCCCTATTGCCCGGGGGCCCCATAAATTGTCAGTCCGCCCCTGCACTCAACTATGGCCCCTAAATGTAAACAAGCCCTTACTCTTCCAAGGCCCCTATAATGCTGCTTTCACACTGATAAGCTGTGGTTTACCCGCACCATGAGTACAGAGCAGTGTACCTGCAGCTTTCCTGCGGATTAATTGCGCTGTGCCATAGACTTCTATTATATCTTGCAGGTGTGGTGCACTTTCTGAAAGCACACCAGAGCTCCCGCATTCAGTTTGAGGTGGAGGGATCTTCAGAGGGATCCGAGGGCCACATGTGGCCCACGGACCACAGTTTGAGCACCCCTCATCTAGACAGATTCAGGTATTTACACTAGCTGCATTTTAAAAAATAGTTTTTAATACATTTATTTAAGAAAAAATTGCAATAATGGTATATGTATATCAGACTGGAACTCAGCTATAAAGTTTTTCAAATAGTAATGAAAAAAAGTAAAAGAGAAAAAAAATGATTCCTTCCTAAGTTTAAATTTTAACTCTATACATTATATTCTCATTGAGTTCCCAATAAAAAAAAGGACTGTATTACTATTGCAGACAGCAAATGGTAGCACTTTTGTCTACGTTCTGAAAGACTGTATGGTTCTTTCTTTGCAGCAACCTTTTCTCAATTTACGTTTGAATCTGTGGTCTCCATTGTGAGTAGCCTTCACAATAGTAAAGATCTCATCAAGGATCAGCATGGAAGAAACTGCTTGCTGGCATCCTATGTGTATTATGTGTTTCGTCTGCCAGATGTCCAAAAGGACATGTACATAGCAGGTATGGTCCTGTAGCCACATCTAGTCATGAAAGTAATTTTTGCATATTCTTAATAACAGGTTCATATTTTATTGCACTTAAAATTGAATAATTTTTTTAAGTGTTTTATGATGTCACCGTGCATGTGTTTAGTGTTACAAACACTAGCAAGAAACTATAAGTACCCAAATTCTGTATCCCATTCTTTAACTCTTCATGTTCATTTATTTTATACTGTGCTGCCCTGCTAACAGCTGACAGCTAATTAACAAAACTGATAGAAGCAGCATTATGTTTTATTCCAAAACTAAATTTTCTTTTGTGAATAGTTCTGTAAAACTGCAATACAATTACATAAACTGAAGTTACGGTATGATTGTAACTACTGTATGTCTCTCACAAATGCATACAATGAACACATTTTTTGCAAAAAGCTACCTACAAATCACATTTAATACATAAATGCTATATGAATATATATGTGACTTTAACAAACACAACAAATGAGCTTGCAGGCATATGTGTATCAAAAAGAGAATTCTAGGAAACCTTCACTGGTGTTCTTAACCAATTCAATACCAGGCAATTTTACACCTTCCTGCCCAGGCCAGTTTTCAGGTTTCAGCGCTCTCACACTTTGAATGACAATTGCGCGGTCATACAACATTGTACCCAAACTAAAATTTTATCATTTTCTTCACACAAGTAGAGCTTTCTTTTGGTGGTATTTAATCACCACTGGGGTTTTTATTTTTTGCTAAATTAACAAAAAAATACCAAACATTTTGAAAAAAAAAGGTTTTTCTTTGTTTCTGTTATAAAAGTTTGCAAATAAATAATTGTTCTTCATAAATTTAGGCCGAGATGTATTCTGCTACATGTCTTTGGTGAAAATAACCCAAATTAGGATGTATTTTTTAGTTTGTAGGAAAGTTATAGAGTTCACAAACTATGGTATAGGTCTGAATATTAATAAATCCTGAAGTACTGACAGCCAATCTAATTTCTTGAGGTCCAAGAATGTCAGAACCAGGGGCGGACTGACCATTTGGAAACTCGGGCACTGCCCGGGGGCAAATGGTTAAGGAGGCTAAAATGGCTGCAGTGGTAGATGGGAAAATCTTTATTAACAAGACACTCCCAAGATGCTAATAAAAATAGGTGCAGTTGTAGTGAACACCCAATAGATGGCTCCCAACTCAATACAATGATGATATACAGAACATACACTATATTGCCAAAAGTATTGGGACACCCTGCCAAATCATTGGATTCAGGTGTTCCAATCACCTCCATGGCCAAACATTCTACATTAATTTGTTAAAGAATGGGTCACTCTCAGGAGCTCAGTGAATTCAAGCGTGGTACCATGATAGGTTGCCACCTGTGCAATAAGTCCATCCGTGAAATTTCCTTGTTACTAAATATTCCACGGTTAACTGTTAGTGCTATTATAACAAAGTGGAAGCAACTGGGAACAACAGCAACTCAGCCACGAAGTGTAAGGCTAGGTAAAATGACAGAGCGGGATCAGCGCATGCTGAAGTGCACAGTGCACAGAAGTCGTCAACTGTCTGCAGAGTCGATAGCTAAAGACCTCCAAACTTTGTGTGGTTTTCAGATTAGCGCAACAGTGCATAGAGAGCTTCATGGAATGGGTTTCCATGGCCGAGCAGCTGCATCCAAATCTTACATCATCAAGTGCAATGCGAAGAAACAGATGCAGTGGCGTAAAGCACGCCACCAGTGGACTCTAGAGCAGTGAAGACGTGTTCTCTGGAGTGATGAATCATGCTTCTCTGTCTGGCAATCTAATGGACGTGTCAGGGTTTGGCAGTTGCCAGGAGAACAGTACTTGCCTGACTGCATTGTGCCAAGTGTAAAGTTTTGTGGAAGGGGGTTATGGTGTGGGGTTTGATTTTCAGAGGTTGGGCTTGGCCCCTTAGTTCCAGTGAAGGGAACTCTTAAGGCGTCCGCATACAAAGACATTTAGGACAATTTCATGTTCCCAACTTGGTTTGGGAATGACCCCTTTCTGTTCCAACATTACTGCACACCAATGCACAAAGCAAGGTCCATAAAGACATGGATGAGCAAGTTTGGGTTGGAGGAACTTGACTGGCCTGCACAGAGTTTTGACCTCAACCCGATAAAACACCTTTGGGATGAATTTTAGCGGAGACTGCGATCCAAGCCTTCTTGTCCAACATCAGTGCCTGACCTCACAAATGTGCTTCTGGAAGAATGATCAAACATTCCCATAGACACACTCCTAAACCTTGTGGACAGCCTTCCCAGAAGAGTTGAAGCTGTTACAGCTGCAAAGGGTTGGCCAACTCAATATTGAACGCTACGGACTAAGACTGGGATGCCATTAAACTTTATGTGCGTGTAAAGGCAGGCATCCCAATACTTTTGGCAATATAGTGTATATGCTGATACAACATACAGTATATGGCATATTGGAATTTTTTAAGAGACAAACTATGGAAAAAGGTGCATGTAGTGTAATGTGAATATTGTATACGGTTGATTTACTAAATGCAAATAGGCTGTTCACATTGCAGAGGAATTTCCCCCAGAATTTAGCAAATGAGGTGAAGCTCTGCTGGATTCTATAATCCAATTATGTGCAATCAAGTGAATATTCACCACCGTCACTAAGAAATTCCCTTGTAAAGGCCTATATGCCTTCAGTAAATCATCCCCTATATGTTTCTTTTAATCTTCCCTAGACATACAGTATATTTTAAGAGAAATGCATGTGTCAACTCAAAAACTCCAGTGTCTTTGAAGCATGCCGGGAAAATGTCTGCAGTTCCAGTAAATGATTTTGCACACTCTTATGAATGTTAAACATACTTAGTAAACCACAGTTATGTAAATCTGGGGAGATTATACAGCTAAAACACACAGATTATTTATAGCAGATGGCAGGCACATCTACAATTCTTTTTTTTAACACACTAGCTATTTGTGTTTTTTTACTTATTTTGTACATTATTTGTACTTTTATGTAGACAACTACAAATATTTATACAGATTTTTCTGTAATTAGGTAGATTTCTTTTTAAGTTCATTCTTTGCTGTTTACATCAAAGACTTGTAGTAGATCACTCACCTTTTTTCGTGCCTTTTTAAGGTGCAAGTCTGTCTGAGATGCGTTACAACACTGTGGGCCGTACCACAGCTAATACTGTAGGTTCTAAACTAATGCAGTCCAGGACCATGAGTTCGAGCAACCCAGATATTGCAGGAATGCAGAGTGCAGATGAAGAAGTTAAAAACATTATGTCCTCCAAGGTGAGTTAAGACGTTACCTTTAATCCTTTTTTCCTGTGAAAGCACTTTAATTATCATAAAATGCTGTTTTTTTTACCTTTTCTGTGGTATTACATACCTAGTTATACTACAGGTATACATTCATTAAAATATGATATGATACTCTTTAACTAGTATAAATACCTTGATAACAGGCTTCTGTACATCCCTGAGAATACAGGTGGGAGGGTCAGCACTCTAAGTCAATCAGGTCTTTGTACAGGCGTACCTCGGTTTACGAATTTAATGCATTCTGCAGGACTTTTCCCGTAAACCGAAATGCAGTTTCCCATAGCAATGCATTGAAAACCAATTCATCCGTTACGGAGGTCATAAAAAAGTAAAAAACAATCTTATCTGTTCAAAACTCTTTATTAAGTGCACTTTAAAGGCATAGTACTGTACATGGACATGATTAAACAAATAAACCATTTGGAAACTCAGGCACTGCCCGAGGGCCCGGGGTCAGTAGGGGGCCCCATGAGATGCCCCTGGTACCTTTTTCATAGGCTTTTTTGAGTTTGGGCAAGGACACAGGGGCCCCATGATCCCCTATTGCCTGGGGGCCCCATGAGTTGTCAGTCCGCCCCTGGCCTGTACCATGCTTTTAGTCATAGTGTACACTTGCTTAGGAAGTGATGACCAGTGTACCTCTGCTCAGAGGCGGACTGACCATTTGGAAACTCGGGCTCTGCCCGAGGGCCCGGGGTCAGTAGGGGGCCCCGTGAGATGGCCCTGGTACCTTTTTCATAGGCTTTTTTGAGTCTGGGCAAGGACACAGGGGCCCCATGATCCCCTATTGCCCAGGGGCCTCATGAGTTGTCAGTCCGCCCCTGCCTCTGCTACTCCATTGTCCTGTCATAAGCTGAAGCATGTCCTGGACCAGGAGGTTTATATGCAGTGTACACTGCAGAAGAGTCAAAGACCTAGATGAACTACAAATAAGAAGAAGGGCTGAACCAGACTTCCCTAAATGGTGTGACATGTTTGTTTTTTTTTATACTCTGCATGTGTGTGTGTAATCAAAGTTGTATGGATCTCCACTTTTGAGGTAAAGTAGAACCAAAGGCAAAGCTTTGTTTGATCACTTTGTATAGAGCAAGGGAAGGTCATAACCCCATCACCTATTTTTTTTCGCCATCTGTGTCCCATTTTGGAGATTTCGCTTCACTTCCTGTCTCATAGCCAAACAGGAAATGAGAGAATATCCCTGCAAATTAAAGGAATCCCTTGGGGACCCCCAGTGTCCCATTGGAAGATTTCCCCTTTATTAATTTTCTGGGGACAACACAAAATTTGGGATTTTATTTTACTTTCACTTTCAATGATAATGGTAAGCAGGACAAATGTAGAGAGTGAATATCTTTAACAGGGGCACAGACAGCAATGAACACTGACAGGGATTCCAATCCCTCTCCACTGTGTCCAAAACTGAAAAAAAAAACCTTTTTGCCTTTAGTTATACTTTAACCATTGGCAGTGGGAAAATTACATTTGACATGTTTATGGTGACATACTGTCTTAGTAGGCCATCAGCCTTCAAACTGGTATATATTGTATGCAGCTCATGTGCTTTTGTCATCTTCAGTCTCTGATCCCTGGTGTTCTGGTAATTCCCTTTAGGTTTCTAGTCGTACCTGCAATCGCATGTCTTATTTTGTTGAATCCAGCAATGACTTGCAGTCTGCTGTTTCCATCACAAGGCCATCCAGCAAAAAGGTATTGTAAATATTTCATACCCGAACTCCATATTGAAATATTAGAGCATTTACTTCCTTCACAGCTGAAAATGTTTTTATCAATCATGGAATTGAAGGGCTCTATATTTTAATATCAGGACATTCATTTCCATCACAGCTGAAAATGTATTTATCTCTAATTAATCCAAATTGCTGAAAATGATGGAAAAATATTTAGGCATGGAAAAAGAATATGTATCTACTAATATTGATAAACAGATTGGAATTTGTGTTCTAAAGAATGCTTTTACAGTGAGTCATGCAGGAGTAGACATGTGCGATTTGTTTAGTTTTTAATCGAAATTCGGAGAAATGTTTCCTTATTCGGAAATTCCGAATCACAATAGTAACGAATGTAAACAAATCCTAGGAAATAACGAAACCCTACATTTGTCCAAAATAACAACAATCAAATTTGATTTGAATTTGGAAACAAATATGAAATGTAAACATATTGCAATTCTTAGATGTAAAAAATTCAGCAGCCACGTTTGATTCGAAAAAAAATTTAATTTGAATGCCAATTTGAATTTTCAAATTCTCATCAAATTGAATTCAGTTCAGTCAAATTGAATTCAATTCAACCAAATTCAAAAAATTTGTATCAAATTTGGAAACGAATAAACAAAACAAAACTAAATGAATTCAACTAAACAAAATTAGTTAATTAACAAAACAAAACTATTTTTTTCATTCTGCACATGTATATGCAGGAGTCAATGCTCCAAGCCTCCACTGCTGCAAAGCTGAATAGGTGCCAGTCTAAGGACGCTGTCCTTGGTCCATAAAGATACACTTACATAAGGAGAAGCAGCACACCGATGACCTAACTTGGCTCAGTAAATTTCTATTCAGCCATTCATGCAACACAGCTCATCCCCACCTGAAGACCGCCCCTCTCGTACCTGTTTCACCCTAATGAGCTTAAGCTGCCAATAGATGGATCAAAATTCAGATGGTTCAGCAGGGGCTGGCCAAATTTTGATCCATCTATGGCGGTTCTAAATCAGTCTAAAGATTAACTTCTGTTGAACAGGACTGTTGAAAAACTTTTATCGATCAGAGGCTTTCAGGCAATCAGCTGCAGCCACTGATCAGTGTATTCTAACGGGAGGAGTCCCGCTGTCAGAATACAGAGGCACAGCAGGGAAGATTCTACCTTGCATTTTTTTAAAGTGTTACTAGACCCAAACAGTAAAATCAGTCTGTATATGCAGTAAAGCATGCTTGATATACTCAGTGTGGAAACTAAGGGTTTAATCCTCTGCATTGTGTAAAAATACTGTTTGATCCTGACTTCTTTGATCCTCCCCTTCTTCCAGTGTCCCCCTCTTATCTCCTGATAAGACATGTGGTGTGGAGTCTCTCTGCACATTCTCAGTTTGGTGTGTATTGCTAGAAAGGGTTTTTTTTTTCTTGGGAAACTGCATGTTATCAGCAGAGGGCCAATCAGCACTGTCCAGACAGTGGTCAGGGGCTCTGCATCCTCCTAGAGCAGAAATAAAACTCCTCCTACAAGCTTTAACCAGTAATCTGCTGGACACTGATAGAAGTCACAAGACTGCTCTAACTGCTGATGAGAAAAGGTATTTAGCAGTTTATATTTACTTAATATTTGCATTTCCATGTTGTGTGTACTATGGGAGACCAGATATAGTGAATACAGGGTCCTGGGTTTAGTAACACTTTAATGTATAGAGTAAGCATACCACATAGCCAAACTGATTTAGCAATAAATTTGTATGTGACATATATAGTACATACAATCACCAGCAGGTACAGATAACCAAGTATGTCATCTAACATCAAGCATAATACAACAAGATGTACACGCCATTGTTGAATCACAGCAAAGAACGTGCATGCATATAGGTGCAATGAGCTTCACTTAAAACATAGAAGAGCTGATGTTCAGAAATATATACAAGAATACAGTACCCAGAATAGAGTAAAAAAGGAAAGCTGAGCCAAACCCTGGTGAAAAGAGAGAGGAGAAGGGAAAAAAAAAAACATTTTGGGGATCCAGAGAATCTCAAGAACCTCTTACCTAATTTCCCACTGGAGCACATCTCTTATATACACTGGTTGCCATTGTCAGCTACTTCCCCCAGTTGAATGTGACACCACTTCTGGTTCCTGTTTCCGGGAGTGACATCACTTCTGGTTCCCCCCTGCTCCCATAATTTTTCAACCATAGCATGGCTGGACCAGCTTCCTCCATCCACCTTTGTTGTCCCATAAAGGTGAAACATGTCAGAGAGGGGCAGTCTCCAGGCGGGGATGAGATGTGTTGCTTGAATGGCTGAATAAAAATGTAGTGAACATCATCGATATGCAGCTTCTCCCTTGATGTCAATGCTTGTGCAGTGTTTGTTAAATTGGTTTGGTGTATGTGTAGAAACAAGACTCTGAGTTATATATTTAGTTGCAATGTGTGATTATGTTTGTTTGTAAGAGACGATAAAGTTTCTTATCAGGGAACCTGCAGGACTGCTTGTCTTGTGTTCTCAGATCTGCCTCTGTTGTTATTGCTTTGTTATTGAATTTCACTTTTCTCTGGTGGAATAGGTTTAGTTGTGTCTGTCTACTTATCACGGTGGTCTCTTATGGTGACCTTACACATATCAATTTGATCATTACAATTGATCATTTTATTGTGACTAAACTTATCAAACTGAATACAATTATAAACCAAAGACCCTTTATTTGATCGATTCATTGAGGTCTCTGCCAAGTTTATGGCCTGTGGTAGAGTTTGGTTCATTAGTGATCAAATATATGTGGATATGTCAGAGAACTTGTCATGATTCAGAATGATTAAATGATAGGATCTGATAGATTGCTCACATTTATAAACTGGCATTATGTTTGCCATCAATTTTTCATACAATCCCAAAATGCATGATGATCTCTGACAGCAGGAGACTTGCGCAGTTGAACCACACTTATTTTAAATTGGATAAAATCCTAAGGAGATCGATGCCATTTTTCTTTCATGAATATTGTGCTTGTTAACATACACATTCAGATGTACATATTATTTGAGTCAAAGAGTACAAATTTGAAATTGCATACTCCACTGGGCTTATTCAGTTAGGTAGTGCAAAATGTAATGATGATATTAAGCAGTCAATCTGAGCTCATGTCTTATAGGATCTGACTACAAAAACTAAACTCATATAGGTAGTCCAGCATTGGTAGTCCTTATTTTTCATTATATGTTTATATGAATGCATTTTTTATTTAACCTTTTTTAATCTTTTTTTTATATATTTTGTAAAAGCACTTTCATGAGGAACTGGCTCTGCAGATGGTAGTTAGCACCAACATGGTGAGGGAAAATGTCTTCAAGTACGCATGGTTCTTCTTTGAGCTCCTGGTAAGTTCCATATTGTCACCTATAACAATTCTCAAAGAACTCAAAGATAAAAGTTAAATCCTCCTTTCCTTTGGTTTAAGGTAAAGAGATCTCAAATATAAAAGTTAAATCCCTCTTTTTTTGGTTTTAGGTGAAGAGCATGGCTCAATACATCCACAATGTGGACAAACAGGAGGTACCCAGAAGAAGCCGTTTCTCAAATCGTTTCAAAGATGACATAAGCACTATAGTGAATGTAGTCACTTCAGAAATAGGAGCTCTTCTGAATAAACAACAGAAGGTAAGTGGCAAGTACAGTGAAGGAAATAAGTATTTGATCCCCTGCTGAGTTTGAATGTTTGCCCACTCACAAAGAGATGATCAGTCTAAAAATCGAATGGTAGGTGTATTGTAACACTGAGAGACAGAATAGCAACACAAAATCCAAAAGAAATGCATGTCTAACAAATTATGCACTGATTTGTATGTTCATGAGGGAAATAAGTATTTGATCCCCTTCACAAAACATGACTTGGTAGCAAATCCCTTGTTGGCAATTACAGAGGTCAGACTTTTCCTGTAGTTGGTCACCAGGTTTGCACACATCTCAGGAGGGATTTTGGCCCACTCCTCTTGGCAGATCCTCTCCAAGTCATTAGGTTTGGTGGCTAACATTTGGCAACTCGAACTTTCAGCTCCCTCCACAGATTTTCAATCAGATTAAGGTCTGGAGACTGGCTAGACCACTCCAGGACCTTAATGTGCTTCTTCTTGAGCCATTTCTTTGTTGCCTTGGCCTTGTGTTTTGGGTCATTGTCATGCTGGAACATCCATCCATGACCCATTTTCAATGCCCTGGCTGAGGGAAGAAGGTTCTCACCCAAGATTTGATGGTACATTGCCCCGTCCATCGTCCCTTTGATGCGGTGCAGTTGTCCTATGCTCTTAGCAGAAAAACACCCCCAAAGCAGAATGTTTCCACCACCACGTTTGACAGTTGGGATGGTGTTCTTGGGGTCATAGGCAGCATTCCTCCTCCTCCAAACACGGCGAACTCAGTTGATGCCAAAGAACTCTATTTTGGTCTCATCTGACCACAACACTTCCAACCAGTCCTCCTCTGCATCATTCAGATGTGCAGTGGCAAACTTCAGATGGGCCTGGACATGTGCTTTCTTGAGCAGAGGGACCTTGTGGCACTGCAGGATTTCAATCCTTGTTAGTGTAGTGTGTTTCCAATCATTTTCTTGGTGACTGTGTTCCCAGCTGCCTGGAGATCATTGACAAGATCCTCACGTGTAGTTCTGGGATGATTCCTCACTGTTCTCATGATCATTGACACTCCATGACGTGTCTGTGTACATAATTCGTTTTAATGATAATTTATTTTTCCCCTTTGTTTAGACTTCATTTACATGCTTGTACACGCATATACATGCGTTTATACGTGTAAGTGCATGTTCCAAGACAAAGATTTTTGGATTCTGAAAGCAGTTCATGTTTATGCACCCGTGTGAATGGCTTCACTAAAAACAACGCAGCTGCATTCAGATCTATAATTGCAAATACTTGTATATGCGTTTTTTTTATGGCCATGTGAATGAGGCCTATTATTGTATAATCCTGGTGCAACAACTGTTATTTCAGACCTGTGCAATGGTTGAAAATAGCAATCAATATAGCCAACAATGCATGTGTTTTAGCTAAGTACATTAAATCTAATATCCTTCCCCATGGTGTTATTTATATTTATGTTTTTTATTGCAGGAAGTTGAACAAGCAGAGAAAATGAACATAAGTCTGGCATTTTTCTTGTATGATTTACTTTCCTTGATGGATCGAGGTTTTGTTTTTAATCTCATCAAGCATTACTGCAATCAGGTACAGAAGTCTATGATAATTATTAGCAAAAAGTAGTAGAAAAATACACATTGAAGCACACAATAACACAGTGGAATGTGAAGTGTGGGCTTAGCTGTCTCATTCTTCATACTGATTAAAGTACTTTTGTGCAGTTGTCAGAAAAAGTTTTTAGAAATGTAGTTCCCTTATTCCAGAGTTAAATATTTGAACCATGAGAAGATTTGCTTTTGTAGTCTGTTTTTGACTTACTAGCCTGTCACAAAGCCTATAATAAAGACTAGTTGTCACAGTTTTCCTGTGTGCTGATAGTTTCAGTGACAGCAGGTAAAAGTTAACTGTCAAGCAGGTGGTTGTAACCCAAAGTTAGTTTTGCCTGAATTATTACAGAAGAGCTTTTATCTCTATTTTATTTTAAGCAAATTTTGGATTTTGTTTTTATTATAACCCAGTCAATTAGGATCCATCAAGTGCAAAAAGATTAATAGAGAGAAAATTACAGGGCTTGCTTGGCACAATGACAAACAATGTATATTTCATCAATTTCAAGTACAAGATATGAAAAAAAAAAAAGAAATGTGCAATGAAAGGCTTTTGTTCCATCATGACTAATCTATCAAATGTTGCATTCCAGTAAAATCCATTTCCACCTGTTTGACAAATAAATATAGGAAATTTGATGCTAAAGTAATATGATGATCTTTGTGACTAATATTTATTAGCTACCATTCCCTAGCATACAGTATATACTGGCAGCTGAAGTGTTCTCTTTGGCCAGTGAGAAATGTTTTTATTGTCTTGATGTCATTAAGTACTGGGTTTGCCAACTTAACACAGCACATCGTTGCTTAAAATTGAAGTGCATTCTAAAAACACAGCTGTATCTGTAGCCCCATTCCAATAACATGTTCAGTATGATCATTTCTCTTTGTACCAAACAGTAGGAAATGGTGTCTGCGATTTGGATTGTTTTACTGTCTTTCCTTAAAGTGTTCTAAAGCCGTATTTTTTACCTAATATAAAAAGGAGGCTTATCCTTGCTTGTTCTGTGCCCGAAATTCCTCTTCTGGGTCCCCCTACTCTCTGCTCCTCTTCTGGGTCTGCCACCGTAACAAGCTGCTTGTTATGAGGGCAGACATGCAGGCTTGCTCCCAAGCTGGGCTGTGTGCATCCATTGACACACACAGCATGGCTAAGTCCCACTCCCCGCTCACTGGATTTGATTAACAGCAGCAGAAGCCAACAGCTCTTGCTGTTATCAACCTGCCCTGTGAATGCAGGAAGAGAGAGAGCAGCACTGCAGATGGGCACTGCACTGGTTCGCACGCAGGTAGGTATTAATGGAAGAGGAAGCAAACAGATAATGATAGTTTTTTTTTTAATTTACTGCAGATTATTCTAAAAAACCTTGTGAATTTAAAACCACTTTAAAATATTATATTTGTTAGAAAGGTAAAGTCACACTTAGTTTTTTATGGTATTTTAATTTATGCTATTTAAGTAATAAATAAATAAATAATGTAAACATTAAAGTCTTACTAAACCCAGGACTCTGCATTCACTATATCTGATCTCCCACAGTGTACAGAACATGGAAGTGCAATTATCTTAGAAAATATAAACTGCTAAATACCTTTTCTCATCAGCAGTTAGAGCAGTCTTGTGATTTCTATCATTGTTCAGCAGAGCACTGGTTAAAGCGTGTAGGAGTTTTATTTCTGCTCTCAGAGGATGCAGGACCCTTGACCTCTGTCTGGACAGTACTGATTGCCCAATGCTGATCACATGCACTCTCCCAAGAAAAAAGTAACCTCTCTAGCAATACATACCAAACTGAGCATGTGCAGAGTGTCTCCACATGATATGTCTTATCAGGAGATAAAAGGGGGACACTGGAAGAAGGGGAGGATCAGAGATGTCAGGATTAAACAGCATTTTTACACAATGCAAAGGATTAACCCCTTAGGTTCCACTGTGAGTATATCAAGCGTGTTTTACTGCATATACAAACAGATTTTACTGTGTGGCTTTAGTAACACTTTAAGGGCCAGTTCACACCATAGAAATGCAGTCTGGATGCATTCCAGATTTGTTTCTCTATGAGCGTTTTTTTATGTGTTCTGGTGCTTTTTTTATGTGTTTTTGATGCATTTTTCATTTTTTCTCCTATTTTAAAGTTTATAGGGATTTTTTTTCTTTCACCATCCTATACATGAGTGGAATCTGGTAAATAGCAGAGTAGCTCCGCCATCTGCAGAAACTGACATAAACATTTTAACAGGTTCTCTTTAGAGATATAACCAGACCTGTTATTACAAAGCAGCAAACATATTGTGTAGATTTGGGGTGTTTAATGCTTTGCATTGCACTCCAGCCAAACACTTTCTATCCACCAGGGCTGCAGGGCAAATATTCAAACTTTTCTCCTGTCTCCAAAACTAAAAAAAGTTATGTCTGGAGTTCCACTTTCAGTTTAGTTTTTCGTTTACATACCTATATATTTAGAAACAGATGGATGATGAATATATGTGAGAAATAATATTTAAGATTATATACATTTTTTTTTGTAACATTTATAAAAGTTTTTTATTAAAAAAAAAAATTACATGGTTATGACATACTTTATGTACATTTCTGACAAAGATCTTACTACTAATGAGTCTTTATTTTCATTTTTCCAGTTGACAGCCAAGCTGAATTCTTTCCCAACTCTGAGTTCTATGCGTCTTGAATTCCTACGAATTCTCTGCAGTCATGAGCATTATCTCAACCTGAACCTTTTCTTTGTCACATCATCATCTACACCGTCCTCTCCTTGCCCTTCTATTTCTTCTGAGGTACAGAAGCTTACAAAACAGAAATCTGTTTACACTCGCTGAACTTTGATTCAAATCATGAACTTTTTCTCAGTCTAAGTTTTTATCATTCTGGATTTTGGTTTACACTACACTGAAACCACTGATCTTATCAATTCTAAATATGGTAAAAAAAATATACATTTTAAGAAAACTCTTTCCTGCACTAAACCGGGGTGGGGTAATATGTACTACACAATCTCAGACAGAAACCTGGCTCTAAGGCTGGCCATACACTATACAATTTTCTGTCCAATTTCCTTTAGATTTACCTTTAACTATGTAGTGCAAGAGCCTGCCTAATTGGATACTATTGAAAGTGTTGTTAGGTTTGACCTCGTATTATATGGTTTTTGGTAAATCTAAAGCAAAATTCTCAAGAATATTGTATAATATATGGACAGCCTTAAGGAGGAGGAGGAACTGAGTGTGTCTTCATCATCACAAGAGGGAACAGATGCAGTAAGAGGGGCAAAGTTTAACTTTAATCGTTTGTCCAAACTCAGAAAAATATGCAGACAGCCTTTGTTAGCCTTCCCTAAAGTAAATGCTAGTTGCCTGGTTGTCTTGATGATCCAGCAGTTTCAATGTTTTCCATAGTTTCTGATCTGGAACAAGTTTAGGTCTGACCATCATACCATAAATGTAAATGTTACATGTCTTCACCTTCTTTCCATAACTGTGAAACCATACCTTGTTTTTATATTTGTGATTGAAATTTCTGATTGAAATTATGTCATGGATAGACCCACAGAACTGGCCTGCAAACCTTTTCTGGGTCTCACAGGTTTCCTGTACTGCTGTATATTGTACAGATATTGTTACACATATGGTACATTTCCTTTCAGCTACAATATTCCCCTTCCCTGAGTAACATTTGCGATGTATGCTCAAGCTTTGCAAGTGCAAGCAATATTATCAGCAGTCCTCTTCTCTTTTTCTGGAGAATTGACTATTCCTGCAATATAATAATAAAGTGATGCACACAATAAAAACTATTACCTGTGATGTGTTATGAAGCTAAAGAAATTTAGATACAATAAAAAAGGCATATAATAATGTGAGGAACATTTCTTCTACAGAACTCCAGTTCTTGCTCTAGTTTCCAGGACCAAAGGATTGCAAGTATGTTCGAGCTTTCATCGGAGTACAAGCAGAAGCATTTTCTAACTGGACTTCTCTTCACAGAACTGGAAGCTGTGCTGGACCAGGAGGCAGAAGGGTATTTATATCTACTCTATGGATACCTTGCCCCTTGTGCTAAGCTTTTGTAAAATATGTATTTATGGAAAGACCTAATGCAGGGTGAAAAAATAAATTTGTAGCCACAAGCATTAAACAAATTCAGTTATGCAATTATTTGTGTATAGCTCAGACTTTCATGCTTTGGTTTCTTGTTAAATACTATACCTTTTTTTCTCAGAATCAGTAAAGTGCAAAGGAAAGCTATCAACGCCATCAACAATTTGCTAAGTTCACATGATTTGGACCCACGCTGCCAGAAAATCGAGATCAGAAATAAAATTGCTGCCCTCTATCTCCCACTGGTCAGCACTATTTTGTTGGCCCTTCCTCAGCTACATGATTTTTCAGGTAATCTGATGTTTTGTGTGTTGAAAGCCTCAAATAAAAGGAGGATTAGGAGGGCACAGGGCGATACGACAACTAACTGAAGAGCTCTATTTTATGATGAAGAATCATCCTGTAGATTTTATTTCTTAATAGGAGTACTCCTTGATGTGCATGCAGCATCACCTTTGCGTATGCTTAAAAAGCCCAATTAAAGTCACATATAAATGCATTTAGAAGACATTTAGGGGAATTCTGTAAAGCTATAGAAACTTTTCTGGAAGTGTGCCTAATTTAGGCAAGCAAGTGTACCAGTTTTGCTAACATTACCGATGGTGTGCCAAATTCACGTGCAAACTACCTCCACTTTAAGAACCTGTTGCTATGGTAGTGACATATCCTTAAAGAATTACTGACAGTTCGTAGATTAGGAAACTGGCATACTTAAGACCAGCTCTGTGTTGGCATACACTTGTGCTTAGAGTGGGGCATGTCTGTGATGGGAAGCGGTCATATATGTGACAGTTTCCCATACAGATCAATATCCCCAGCCCCATTCAAGTGTTGTTACTTATCTGCCTGTCCACCCTTGTACAGTGAGCCATGCATGCACAGCTCACTGTACAAATTCGGCAATACTCAGAGATACTGCATCGCTGGAACCAAGGTGAGTGTAATTCTGCTTTAAGGTGTCCGTTAATGACACAGAGAATAGCTGCGATTCAGAGGATCGCAGCTATTCTCTGGTCATTCACAGTTTATGACACTCAGGAGATCAGCGAGGAGCGATGTTAGCCCTTCACTGGCAATCTGTGTTCTCCCTCCAGATTCTCCAGCCCAGAGCTGGAGAATCGGAGGAACTGCAAACTAAGCAGCAATAATTTACCTCTGTTTAGTAAACTGATCTCTTACTGTAATCTCGCGAGATTATAGTAAAAGCAGCCATTTTCCAGCGTTTGTAGATCATTCTCCCTTTGTTCGGAGAACTGATCTACACCGCTTCATAAAAGGCATTCACAGATTAACTGTGTTCTCCGAGAATTCCGGAGAACTGAGCAGCGATCATTTACTGCTGGTTCATAAACGGACACCTTAATCGCTTAGTGGTCAGAACCTAATAGGGAACTGACATATTAGTTCCCCATCAAGTATGTCTTATTCTTAATTGACAGTGGGTGACAATTGGTGGGTTCAAAAACTGCTATTGGACTGAATTCATTTATTGCCATGTTCTGTCAGTCTACAGCAAAGTGGTCCAACTGGGGAACTAGTCACTAAAAAAAACATGCGGCTATTAGTATGACAGGAGTGGTGGCCGGGGAGAGGGTGCACCTAAGGAAGGAGTGTCCAGTAGCACTCTGACCTTAGCACTGGGCGCTGACAGATTCATGTACTTGTTTGTGACAGGTACATGGATCAGCCGCGAGTACCAATAATTTTGTTGCAGCACCCCAAATGAAATCCTTAAGGTTGTCTACGACACCTTTTATGAATCCCCCCACTGTATGCACAGTTTCAATTTTCATAGTCTTACCACCACTTATCTGCAGTTTTGCAAAGTGTCTAAATATTACTGTGCAGCCCAATAGTCATCGCTTTGGTTAAGTCTTTAATTAAGACATGGTGTTTTCAGTAACAGACCTGGTAAGACACAGCTGCTCTTTCTCTGCAGTACAACCATTTGCAAAGACACTTGTAGTTTGGTAGTTCTGCCAGCAGAGAGCACTGGAGAGAAGCAGTAGTTTCACCAGCAACAATTTTGTTAGTATACTGAATAAAAACCCTAAAAGTCACAAAAAACTCAGACTCAAATGGTTGCCTTACAAAATACAGTTATTGATGGTTAAAGGAAACGTCATAAAAATTGTGTGGTTAAAATACATTTTTTTTAAGGAAAACATCACTAAAACGGTTTATAACATACTAATTTTCCTTTTGCAGGATCTAGTTATGCTCTTGATCAGGGGTGTCCAAACCATAGCCCTCCAGGTGTTGAGGAACTGCAAGTCCCATGAGGCCTTGCAAAATTCTGACATCCACAAGCAAGACTCCCAGAGGCATGATGGGACTTGTAGTACTTCAACAGCTGGAGAGCCATAGTTTGGACACCCCTGCTCTAGATGTCTACTGACATTGGACAATCTCAGTAAACTCCCCCAGATGATATACATTGGGGAAAATCTGTTGGTGCTTTCTGAATGTTAGCTGTTGTTCCACTGCAAGATGTTTAGTACAGAAGGTGTATAGTGGACACACACATACTGTATATATGTTACTAAAGCATCTTGGTTTTTTAAAAATAAACCTGAGTTGAATCTCGCATGTGCAATATACATTCTTCAAAAGAATTCAGCTAGGAACCAATATTGGTTCTTGAACACTGCCCTATGCTAAAGCTGAATAACAATTAAAATGTAAAACATATGCTATGCTAATATACACCCTTAATCATATATGGGTCCTTCTTTGTATTACACAAACTTTTACAATTCAGGAAGGTAAATTGACATTGCTGCAAATGAGATTTTCTCTCCGAATTCTCTATAAGTTATTATCGTGTACATAATAATGTTTGGAATATTAATTTTTGTATTAGTTCTAGATACACGGAATGGAAAGACGCGTAGTACAGATGAAGAAGCAGAAACTCCAAGCACAATAAATCCAAGCGTTGCAATGGCTGTAGCAGGAAATCAGTTTGGCCTTAAAGCACCCCCAATGGCGCTGTCTTCAGTTGTAAGTTCATTGTTCTTATTATAGCCATGGGTTCAAACAAATCCAGTGAGAACCCAAAAAAATAGTCCACTTTTTATAGATAAATTCACAGATCAGCAGCTCAGTGTTCATTCTACAGGGGATTGCAAAAAGGCAGGTAAGTGTCTTTGATTGCAGAAGAAACAGTGCACGTCTGCAAAAAAGATGCTTATGGTCGCATTTTGTTATTTTTTGAATTTAGTTCTGCTTTAACCCTGTGCAAACTCTTACAAGATCAGCTCAGAGTTAAATGAGAGTTTCTTTTCATTGCTCTGGTGAGTGAATGGATTGGTAAGAAAGAAAACAGAAGGTAAGTATAAGTATCAAGGTAGCAGGGCTACCGTTTAAGTCAACCTGTTGCTTTTCCATGGATGACACAGATTTTCTTTAAAGTGCTACCTAATAGCATCTCTATCAAAACTTATTCAGATCAACAACAATGAGAAGACACTGACAAAAGGTAAATAAAATTTAGTATTGGCTTAGCAAAACCATTGTCATTTGAAAATTATGCACAGCCTGCCTCAAAAGGCTTCTATAATAGGTCATCGAGCAGGAATGCATTTTTACAGAACTTCATCCCTGGAGGAAAAGTACTTCAACAATTAAATTTATGACAGAATGAGTATTGCATAGCAATACCATAGCCCTATCCTAGCACATGCTTTGAATTGTGGGGCAAGCAATATTATTATTATTATACAGTATTTATAAAGCGCCAATAGTTCGCTCAGCGCTGTACATTACAAAGGGGGACAGAACATGTGACAGAACAATACCAATACAATGCAAAACATGAGGGGATTGAGGGCCCTGCTCTTTCGAGCTTACAATCTAGGAGGGAGGGGATGGTGGCACAGGAGGAGATAGCTGTGGGGGATGGAGTGGTAGGAAGAGTGGAGGAGGTCAGCAAGTTAGCAGGGGGTGGGGTAGGCTTCCCTGAAGAGGTGGGTTTTCAGGGTGCACCTAAAGGAGAGGAGAGTAGGTGATAATCTGATGGGTTAGGGCAGGGAGTTCCAGAGGATGGGTGACACCCTGGAGAAGTCCTGGAGGTGGGCATGGGAGGAGGAGACCAGGAAACTAGAGAGAAGGAGGTCTTGTGAGGAGCGGAGTGTGCGTGCTGGGAGGTACTTGGATATTAGGTCCGTGATGTAGTTCGGGGCAGTATGGTGGACAGCTTTGTACGTCAGTGTTAGGATTTTGAATTTGATCCATTGCGCAATCGGAAGCCAGTGGAGGGATTGGCAGAGGGGGGTGGCGGAAACAGAGCGGTTGGAAAGGTGAATGAGTCTGGCAGCTGTATTCAGGATCGACTGAAGCGGGGATAGCCTGTGGTGAGGCAGGTCAGTGAGGAGGGAGTTGCAGTAATCGAGTTATGATATGATGAGGGAGTGGATGAGCTGTTTAGTGGTTTCTGGAGTTAGGAACGCGCGTATTTTGGCGATGTTGCGGAGGTGGAGTCTGCATGAGTTTGTTAAAGATTGGACTTGGGGCTGGAAGGATAGGTTGGAGTCCAGAATGACACCAAGTACTCTGGCCTGCGGGGCGGGTTTGATGGTGGCGTTGTTGGATGTGATGGAGAAGTCAATGGGGGGTGGTGTCCGGGCTGGGGGGAAGACAAGAAACTCGGTTTTGGAGAGGTTCAGTTTAAGGAAGTGGAGCGACATCCATTGCATCTCAGTCAAAGGTTACTGCTACACTGTTATTAATGCTGTACATTCTGAAAAAAAAAATATTTCAACCTGTTCTATGTATATCTGTTACATATTATAGCACGAACTCCATTTTTGTCACTTTCCAGCCTCTTAAGATGTACACCACATTAAGTCCAGAATCTACACGGAACCTACTTACCTGCTTTCTGTGGATAATGAAGAATGCAGAACAGAGTGTCATCCAAAAGTGGCTTGCCTACTTAACACCTCTACAGCTGAATAGAATACTGGATCTACTCTATATGTGTGTCTCCTGCTTTGAGTACAAGGTATTTTTTGACAGATCATAATAGTCACACATTATTCCTCAGTATACTTAACTCCTAAGGAGGGGGTTACTGCCTCAATACTTTTTTTTCAATAATTGTATCAATTAAGCATACTATCTTTCAGGGAAAGCAATCACCAGACAAGGTGAGCACTTTGGTGCTTCAGAAGTCCAGGGATGTAAAAGCTCGCTTGGAAGAAGCATTGTTACGTGGGGAAGGAGCTAGGGGAGAAATGATGAGACGCTGGAAAACAGGTATCTACTTAGAAGCTAGTCTACATCAAGATGTTTGAGAACTTCTCATGAGAAAGACTACTGAAAGTTTGTACGATCGTATGTACTAGGCAGCCAATGTTCTAACAAAAGGTGGTGCAGCTGATGCCTACATTTAATTTGCTTTTTTTTTCTGTTCTTTCCTTTTATTGTCAATAGGAAACTCATGTTTTAAGCACTCCTAAAAGGTGTCTCCTGGCTGTTATACTAAACTAACTGGTATTTCCTGGGTGGAACAGTTTGATAAACTTTTGAAATGAAAAACAAACAAAGCATGTCCCTCTATAGTGTGTACTAGCCTCAATTCAAAGCACCTAACGTGGTTCTAGTCTGCTCTCTTTTTCCTCTACTTTATGCATGAGTCACTTCTGACAGGTTTTTCTGACACCACAGAATCTTGGGACAACATCACCTCCCATCCATCACACAGCAGGTGACTGACAGCCCCAGCTATGCATGTTTCCATATAAGACTGTGCAGAGGGAGAGGGAGAAGTGCCCATTCCCTTCACTCAGATCTCAGCTTACACTTAACTCCCTGCTCTATGCTGTACATTGTGTGACATCAGATCCCCGTCCCCTGTCTTCTAGAGTTCATAGATTCTGTGTAAAAGGTGAGCTTTAGGAGGCTGTAGAGGATAGAGTGCTGCAGATAAACAGACGCAACTTATGGATTTATTTCATATCTATATATCACCTGAGGCTTGTCACTTCAGTGGGTATATGTAAGGGTTTACAACCACTTTAAAGTAAATCTGCAGTAAAAATGGAAACAATTGTACACTAATAATTTTAGAACAATGTTAGAATACTCTTTATTTTACTATCAATCACTCTAGAGTACCCCCAGGCTGCAGTGTATTTGTAAATACTGACCCCTAGGTAGAAGAGTTGTAGGCACAAACCTTCCCCTATTTAACAATATGATACTTAGTCAGGCCTGGATATAAGCACATATGAGACAGTGACATTCATTTCTTCTCAAGTCAGAATTTGCATAGGTATTGCAAGGTGGCTCTGGGGTGGTACCAACAGAGAAGCTAAAGATATTCCCTGTCATCCTCAGGTGCTTTATTTCCTACAAAAGTATTAATTTACAGTTGTTTAATACTGATTCTTTGGGAAGAAATGAGAAGTAGTCAGATTATGATGAGGTTGGCACAAAACAATCAAAAAGCCCTCCACTTCAAAACTGACATGAAAGAGAGTAAATCGTTTTCTATGCCCAGCGGTATGACCATTAAAGACTTCTCTACCATAATGAAGAGGTGAGAAATAATGGGGCACAATGTAATTAAGTATACCACTTGTAGTGATCATTTGATTATAGTAAGTCTGAATTTTGCATGTCCAGTAGTTCTCATTTTATTTCTGAATGAAATGAGTGAAGCAAATAGGCCAATCAACATATTTAGAACAGAAGCTGGTAAGCATTTGCAGTAAAGATTTCTAAAACCCTGCCATACCTATACTGAAGATATTTTTGTTTTCTTCATGAAATTGGGTTTTCACTCTATTATAATCCTCAAACTTCATTTTATTTTCAAATATTATTTTCATCTTTTAACTTTTGTGTCAAGTAGTTGATGCAAAAGAAAATAAAAAATTGATTTATAAAAGGAGAGATTAAAAAAATTAAGCAAAAATAATATTAACATTTATAAAGACTGATCTTGAGTATGGGGTATGATACAAGGCATTGCTCTGTCTGGAAGGATGTAGAAAATTTAAAGCAGGCACAAAGGTAAACCACTCAAATAATAAAATAGATGGGAGGATTCATTTTCAATGTAATGGTTCAGTCTTGGAAAAAATGCTGTAGCCTTTACTTGTCTGATGTGCACTAGTAAGTGACAACTGCAGTATAATTGGTTGTGTTAGGCAAGAGTGGGCCTTTTCCTTGGAAGTCTGAAGAGTTTTGTAAACTGTTAATTCTCCTAAAGGACATCTACCACCTTTATATTGTTAAGCAGTTAAAGTATATTCTCAAAGCATTGCAAACAGGTTTATTCCACAAATGTTTCTGTCACTGGTAAGGCAAGATATAAATTCCTATTGATAATAGTGGTAAGGAAGCAACAGCACTGTCAACATTTCCTTTAAAAGTTAACTTTTAATCTTTGTGGTATGTTGTATGATTGGTTAAATGAAAAGGCCCCAGAAAATGTGACTTGAATCATTGCTCAGATGGTCTGTAAAGTACATTTCATAGGGAACTACAGAAATAATTGGAGATGAAATGTACAAATACTAAATGTTAGTTTAGCACATCAACTGGATGGATACTGGATAGATGACAGGTCAGTTTAGAGGCTTTCTTGCTGTACATTCTTTTCAAAGAACAGGTTTAGCTGAGTATAAGTGCTATCTGATTCATACATAACTGCTAATTTTCAGGCTTGCATCTTTAATCAGTAAAGAAAAGTCGGTATTTGTCTGACATAATACATTGTTGTCACAGGATGTGTTTTAATAAATCATGCATGAAAATGCAAGGACGATAGGTTGTCGTTTGAAATTATGGGTGACATTGTCTTCTCTGTAGCAGGGAATGACAAATTTGCTGGCCTTAATGAGAACCTGCGGTGGAGGAAGGAGCAGACACACTGGCGCCAAGCTAACGAGAGGCTAAATATGTAAGCACCTTTACTTTGTAACTGATAATGTTACCGGTCTCAATGAGAACAATAATATATTATAGTGGGGTCATGATATAGTATAGTATGCAAATCACTGAGTGTAATAACACATTGGAGTAGGTATAAATTACAGTGGATGAGATGAGTGAAAACATGGTGTCATTAGAGAGGTTGTTCATGACTTACTTTGTTTCTTACATTACTCCACTCCTCCTGTGGGGTGGAGAAGGAGGGGAGTCACATGACCAGATAAGTAAATATACTATTTCAATAAATGTAAAAACTATTGTCAGATAAGTAATAAATAAACAAACATGTATCAATAAATGTTTCTGTGTTGAATAGATTGTGGAGCAACATTTGTTTGCTGGGTACTGCAGATTACGTCAACAAATAGCTGTTGTATTGTGTGCCTTTGTTTTTATGATAGAGATCACTTTTGAATAAAGTATATTTTTATAACAGGGCAAAGGCCGAAATGGACCAGGAAGCCATCATGAGTGGAAACTTGGCTACTGAAGCCAACTTGATTATTCTGGATGTGGTAGAAACCATATTACAGGTTGGATTTAATGAGCATTGTGGACTTATTCATGTTGGACCATAAAAATAGTTTTCTGCATATCATATTGTTTTTAGAAATGAAATTTTAAATCAAATTCTAGTGCTCTTCAAGTTCTTAGTTTTTTTTGTTTTATACACTATATGCTGGGACAGATTTATATTTTTTTTCTCCCCTAGGCCAGATACCCAAAACTGGTTTATCAAGACTTACAATATCGTACCATTATTGTAGCACCCTACTAGTGTAGGATGCTAGGTAAATTTAGCTTTTGGCTCCTTCTGCAATGAAGGGAGCAGTGAGTGTTTGTTCTGGCTTAATCAGCATCTGACAGGCTAGGAGAGTGCTTCTCCTTGCCTCTGAACGAAGCTTTGTGAGATTAGGGTAGATTCATATCAACCTGCCTAAATATTTATTGGGTTCCAGCCAATAACTGGAGAGGAGTGTCCAGGTAGGGGTCTGGGATGGAGATAAATATATTGATACACTGCAGTGCAGGGTTCCTTCTCACCAAGAGGGTTCCAGAGGTGCAGGGCTGCTGCTGTCAAGCAGCCCATGGACTGTACAACTGCTCTAGGAGGCCTCTGAAGTCCCAGGATTACATGGACTTTACTTAGAATTAACTGCAGAACTGCACCACCAGGGATGCAGTCCTGAGAGGCAGCATCTCACTCACTGGATTTCTGGAAGGCGGCAGCTGTCCTAGGGACTTGTAAGTAGTGACATTAAGTTGATCCTTGAGTCTGTGTGCTAAAGAAGAGCTCTGAGTACCAACCTCTGTTCAAGGTAACCATATATCCAAAAGACTTGCTTCATGGCCTTCAATAGTGGAGCCTTAGACTGTTCAGCACCCGTTAACTATCAAGGAGAGAATTTCCTGTGAAAGAGATTTTCCTCACGGTCCCCAGCTGTGAGGTTATAGACTGCCAAGACACTTTCCCCATGGTCCCCAGCTGTGAGGCCCTAACTTGCTAAAGAATCACTCCATGGTCTTCAGCTGTAGGGGTTTGGATGGCTCACTCTTCACAGTTATATGCCCCACATTTTTGCTTTGTGGACCTCAGCTGTGAAAAGTGTTAATGCATTCAGTCAGTCACCTCATGGTTTTCAGCTGTGAAACTTCTAGACTGTTCAAGCACTGGTGCACATCTAAAGAGAAAATTGTCCTCCAGTTGCTGTGTTTTTTGTATCTGTTTTGGAGTATCCTATGCTCTCAGCCCCTCTCATGTTACACATTTTTCTCTGCAATAAACTACAAAAAGACAATCCCTAGACTGTTCATTGGAGCCAGTGTGAATGGACATTTGCTTGGGTGAATGGTGGCCTCTGCACTGTTTGGAAATTAAACAGTTAATATCTGCAGGCCCCTGTGGGGGTAGCGTTACATTAGCAATATGTTGTTCTTACATGTCTGCATAGACAACAGCAGAACTGTGCTGACAGAGCCAGAAACCTCCACAGCGATACAAACTGTAATGTTATGACAAAAAACATGTCAACAGAGACATTATCAGTACTATACTGACACAAGCATAAACATGTCTACTGAGACACAGTATGTCCCATATTGACATAACCAGAACTGTCAGCACAGACAGTCAGTACCCTACAGACACAGTCACAAACATGTCTACAGACTCAAATTCGGTACCATACGGTTAGAATCAAAAACCTGTCAGCAGTGACATAATACCACACTAACATAAACAGGAGGGGGTTGGGGTCACTGCAGGTAGCTGGGAGGCTATGGAGAGGGCTAGTGGGGCAGGTGGATGTAGAAGTGACCATGGATGGGGCTGAAGTATACTGCAGGTGGGTGGAGGGTTCTAGCTGGGCAGACAAGTGACTGGGGGCTGTAGTGGAGGCTGAGGGGCACTGCAGGTGGATATAAAGGAGGCTTGGGAGCACTGCAGTTACAGTAGCTGAGGGAAGGCTGTGGAAGAGTTGAACTCCTGGAAATATTGTACAGTTCATCTGAGAAAGTATGCTTTGTATGTAATTGTTCTTCTTTTCAATATGTTCCTTTAAGTCCCTGTTAATTATTTTAGGTCAGCTTATCTGCAGATTGCAAGGATAATCAACTTGGAGGAGTCCTTAAAGTACTTGTGCACTCTCTGAGCACTAATCAGAGCAACACCTACCTGGCCCATTGCTTTTCTTCCATCCGACTGCTAATCATCAAGGTATGGCAACTAGTCAAAAATCTGATGTTGCACTGCAAAGTAACCAGAATGTAATCTAAGGTTTTACCCATCATTAAATACATGCAAGGCCTGTGTGCAGTTATGAGTTCACATTGCTGCCCATCCACACCCTATTACTCATTTAGAAAGAGAGTCAGCATAGAATATATTCATATTACATAAATCAGCACTTGCCTAGATCTAAGATTGTTGGAACTACTGACATCAGAGGATAAAGCATTTTGTGTAGAATTAAAGGGAATATTGAAGTAAAAATAAGCAGAAGTAGGAGGTGTTTAGACCAGTGTTTCCCAACATCCAGGGCACAGCTCGCTCGTAGCCTCCCTCCTGCTGGACTCCTGGTTGACAGCTGCCACAATGAGTCTTTGCAAAGATGACATTTTTTGTTTCTCTGTGCCAGCACTGGCTGCTTTCCCCCTATTTGGCCATGACTTGACAGCTGCTACTGTCACAGTCTCTACATCTAGCGCTGTTTGCTTCCATTCTGTGGCCGTCAGGTGGGTGGACAGTGCCTACCTCACAGACCACAGAATAGAAGGCTGCTTAAGAGGAGTTGCAGTGCTAAACGAGTGGAATGCTGCCCCTTCCCACAGTACTGCACAGAAACAGGGGGGAAGCAATAGCTGGCAAGTTATAAATGGGGCGAAGCACTGAAAAACATGGAGGGGTTTTATGTTAATTACAGTTTTCTAGGGTATGAATTCATGGTGCTGGTATAGAGGTTGGGAATTACTGGAGAAGGTAATGCAAGGTACTGCTCAGTGATGAACCACTGAAAGGAAGGAGCAGGGTTTCTTGTGAATTACAAGTTGCTGATTTTGCTAGGAAATAAATTCATGGTACTGTTGTGTGGATTGGGGATTACTAGAGAACGATATTGAAGGGGGTGGAAGCTATTGGGTGATTGTATGATTGCCTAATTTAAAACTAATTTTACTGATAAAATATGTTGTTGCTTTACATAAAATTCAGATGTGGTGTGATTTTAGGCCCATGTCACACTTGCAATCCTGTCGCTTGCAGCAAATGACCAGTGACAGGATCACCAGGTTAGGTCAAAATGCAAATGAAGCCATATGAATAAATGAAAAATTAATACATATTTTGCATTCCCATATTTTTATTCTATGAGTATAAACTTTTCACTTAGCTTAGTAAATGTGGTAAAAAATTAACTTTGCAAAGTATACCCAATCACATGCAAGAAAAAAACTTTATTTTGGCAGCTTGCACATTATTGGATGACGGCAATCAGCAGAGCTTCACCTCATTCACGAAGCTAAAGGAAAATTCCCTTTCAAAGTGAATAGCCCATTTGCCAATAGTAAATCAACCCCAATGTCTATGAAAAACGTTAACTAAATTAGGGAAAATATCATTATTAACTCTTTATACAGCTACTGTACAGTTTAATATTTACTCAATGCTGACTAAAGAAAACATGAAAAGAATTACTATACCTTTTTAACCTTGTGATTTCTTATAGTTTGGGGACGTTCTGTTCGAAGAAGAAGTGGAGCAATGTGCTGATCTCTGCCAGAAGGTCTTACATCACTGCAGCAGTGCTTTGGAAAGCACAAGGAGCCAAGCATGTGCAACCCTTTACCTGATCATGAGATACAGCTTCAGTAGTACCAGTGTAGGTTCTTGTAATCTTACAAATATATTAAAGAAGTGTACAAGTATAGGATTTTGCATGATGCCATTCTCTGTTTACATGTACTCAACTATTTTTAACATTACAGTGATTTTAAGATTACCATGTATAAAATTAGCAATCAGTCAGTTCAAAGTGCTATTTCAGGTGAACCCTAGAAAGAGGAGTCATTATTTTGCTTTCTATATTTTTTGAGAGACTACAATCAGGATCTCCCCTGCCATAGTTCCATGCTATCTTGCAGTCTCCATCTGCTAGAAATTGGGGTGGTCTCATTTATTTTTTTTCATTATACATGATTTGAAATACATTACAAATTCAACAGACAAAGTGGGACCCATCATAACTGCTTCAGAGTCCAAAATATTTAAGTAAGCCTGCAATAGAAATAAATTGTGTGAGGACAACTGTCTCCGTGTAGATGTGGTCACACTCACTGGGGTGGTCCCAATAATATCAATTGCAAATCTTAGCAAAAGACATCTCCTATCTGAGAAAAGTGTTGAAATACAAACTTAAGTATGAATATAAAAGTATGTCAATATATCCAATCATATAGGCAATAATAAAACTTTATTACAGTACAAAAACACACTTTTCTTTAAAAGTATTTTAAAATAATGCATAATGCAAGGCCCTACATATTATCCAACAAGTTATAACATATCATGCGCATTTGTAAGCGCAAATGAAGGTAAAAAGACCAAATTGTATATAGAGTATATGCCTGTGCTTCAAGGATCAAAATATATGAACTTTATGAAGAATCACTCTCCAGATACATCTGTTATACACTGGTGCCTCTGCTACTAATCACCTTCCTAAATTGAAGGGCCTTATTACCTCCAAACAATGTTGTCTGCCTGTCTTACCTTGGAACACAGTAAAAGAAACACAATAATTTATGCAAATGTGGTTATGTGTAATTCATCTAGAACTTCGCCCGAGTGAAAATGCAAGTTACCATGTCGTTAGCTTCACTGGTTGGTAAGTCACAGGATTTCAATGAAGAATATCTGCGCAAATCACTGAGGAGCATTTTGGCATATGCTGAGGAAGATGAAGATATGCAGTCTACTTTTTTTCCTGCACAGGTAATGTACATGCAACAATTACATAATGTATAGTAAGCATAATTGTATGTTAATGTGTGATACAGTTCACCAATATAAGGTGGCACCCCACTTACCACAAATGTAAGAGGATTCTACACTGACTACCAATGTAAGGATCTGTTTTACCACTGATCACCAATGTAAAGGGGCACTACACTGACCACCAATTTAAGGTGACACCAGTGTAATAATAGGCATTTCTCCACTGACCAGTTATAAAATGCAGCACGTAGCTGACCACCAATGTAAAAGGGACCACACTGGCCATCAGTGTCAGAGAGCACTTCTTCAATGACTACCAATCAGATGGGGTACTTCTTCACTGACCACTAAGGAAAGGGGCAATTTTCCACTGACTTGTACGTCAGTCTAAAAAAAAAAATTACACTTGACTATGTATGTGCACTGACCATCAATGTTACAGTGTACCACCAATTCACTCTTTTTTTTTTAGCTTTGGATTTTCTATTCTGGCTTTTCTGTTTCATTTATGATTATTACTAAAAATACTTTGTGCTTGTATACAGGAGGGAGGTCATGTACACTATGTACACCACTGACATGATTTGATCATCATTTGCTTTTGAAATCTTAAATAGCCCAAGTAATTAAAGAACTTCAGTCTAAACACAGATGTTACAAGAGTTCCTAATGGCAGACCTATCTAAGCTGTGCCTGGATCAAGGGTCACATTGCTATAGCATATCTGCTGCTCCTCTATATCATTACAGGAGTCATCAGCATTTCTCTGTCCTTCACACCCTTTTTAAATCTGTTAGCTGGAGTTTGTAGGCTGGTTAAAAAAAAAGGAGAATAAGTACCCTATTTTATTTACCATTACCACACCGAGGGCTAATCTTTAATGAGATATAAGGGGGCTCCGTTCTGGTTTCTCCACCCTGGAGCTATTATTTGTGCTTCAGCAGTCTTTTATATGCTTGTGTTAATTACAGTAGTGGTTTATGATCTATGTGGTATGGAAAAATCCCAGTGACATTTCCCTAAACATACACAACAACATTGAACTGTTAGCAATAGAAGCTTTATATAACACAACTTGTATTTCAGGTTTAGCTATGTCAACATATTCTACAATCTATAATTGTAACTGGGAGGTAAACCCATTGTTAAATGTCACATAGGAACTTGAGGTGCCATGTAAATATACTGTAGCTGTGTGACTGTCAACTTAGAATAGTGCTTTATTTAGCATTGCAAAATGCCTAATAAATACAGTATATCATGTATCTGGTGTGCATTACTTCCGAATTCAGGGGAGTAGCTGAACTCCTTAAGGTACTTACATACGGAAGGAGGCCTTAGCAACCTAGGATTCAGAATCACTCAAGGCATACCAAATGTTAATCTAAGCTGGCCATAGACTAATGCCCCGTACATATGATGAGAAAATCATACGAAAAATTTAGTGGAACCACTGATCGAATGACTTTCTCTTCATTGATGAGCAGGATGTTTTAACCGATAACGATATTGTGAACGAAAAAATCCAGTTGAACAATAGTGAAAAATGTTGTCGTTTTGCATATTAACGACTGATTTTCTATGCGGTGGTATGACGGTCGTACGAAAAAAATCTATCAAGCGCTATCACGCATGAGCGGAAACAGAAGATGACTTGGATGTTTGTGTCCAAGGAATCTTCTTAAACACGAACGAAAAATCCAAATGCTAAAAGTAGATTGGCCTAATGAGATAATGAAACCAGAATGATGCATATTCTATTTTTATGTATCACTATTTATGTATATAGGTAATGTAATAAACTATATTAAACTCATTGCTATTAATTGTTGTGTATATCGCTCGTTCTGGCCGGAAGGGCGTGGCTACAAGGTCACACGCACACTGCATCACTTCCACGGAAGACGTCAACACTACGTATTGCCCGATGAACAATTTTTTTTAGATTGGTTAATGTGGGCCACGATTTCGACCAACGAACGAACGCCTCTCGGTCATCGGATGACTGATCGGTTGATTTTCTAATCGTGTGTTCCCACCTTAAGGTTTCTCTTGTTCAGCCCTGTGGGGCCAACAGTTTTCTGAATGAAGGATGTCTGGTGCGATGGTACTGCCAAGGCTACCCTGGGCTCGAATCTTGCTTTGTGTATGGCAGCTTTAAGTTGGCCATACGTCATACAATTTTCTTATTTAATTTCCTTTAGATTCACCTTCAACTATGTAGTGCAAGGGGTTGCCTGATTGCATACACATTGAAAGTGTTTAGGTTTGACCTCATGTTATATGGTTTTGGTAAATCTAAAGGAAAATTGTACAAGGAATTTGTATAAGGTATGAACAGCCTTAGCCTGTAATCAGCATTCATGTTTGTACTAAACCCTTTGTAGTTATCATGGGAACAAAAAAAATCAGAGATTCAGTACTTTGTGTAGACACAATGAGGACGATTTACTAAAACTGGAGAGTGCAAAACCTGGTGCAGCTCTGCATAGAAACCAATCAGCTTCCAGGTTTTATTGTTAAAGCTTAATTGAACAAGCTGACGTTAGAAGGTGATTGGCTATCATGCACAGCGGCACCAGATTTTGCACTCTCCAGTTTTAGTAAATCGACCCCAATAAGCTTTTTATATCCAGTGAAATGGAAATAAATCACACTTATTGTAAAATTCTTTTCTCTGAGTTCATTTAAGGACACAAGATTTGGAGAAAATTAGATTATGCTGCTGTCTACATGAGCATTTGGACAATGGCAAACAAAAAAAAATAAAACGTGACCAGCCTGGTATAGCCCTCCCACTCTGCCCAGTTTGTAGAAAAAGCAGTACTAGAAGTAAGATCACAAATATGGGGGGGAACTGTGTTCCTTAATGAAATTCAAAAAAGATTTTATAGAAAGTAGAAAAATCATATTTCCTTTCTCGTGCATTAAAGGATAAGTTCACCTTTTAGACAAAAATACTTAATATCACTTTTGCTACAGTATTCTGACTGATAAGTAAAGTTTTGCTGATCTTCTTGTAGCCTTCACCTTTATTGTGTAAAGAAATTATTTTCTTTCTTAGGTCCTTGTGACATTTCTCTTCCATGTGGTGCCATTGCTGACAGCATGAAATGGGAAGGGGTTTTCTTTAACTAACGCCCTTTTATAATCAACTCTCTGCTGGACACCTGTTTAATGAATAATTAGACTCACCTGTAGTTGAATTCTTGTTAATGAGGATGTTGTTATCTAAAATGTAGCTTTGCTCCTAAAGCCGGCCATACATGGGTCGAATTCTGAAAGAATTTTCTTTTGAAAATCTTTTCTAAGAATTTTCGTTCGAATTTCGCACAATTAGTGGGTCACAGAAATGGATGATTTTCGTGTGACCATCAAATTTGAGTGATGGGGCATGTTGGAAATTTTTTGAAAAACTAACGAATTTTGAATCAATGATGGGAGAATCATGCGGGAAATATAAACGAAAAAGAAATGAGCATGAGCTATGACCTGGAATGAAAAGAAAATTCTTGGCCACGAAAATTCTTTTCTGTAGCAACATGAGATGAAATCGAAGGCTTGGTTGGTTGAATTGCAAAATCAATGGTGGCACCATCAGATTACAAAATGCACGAAATTTCTGATTTGCTAAAGAAAATTCGTTTGGAATTCGACCCATGTATGGCCTGCTTTGGGAGCAAAGCTACATTTTAAGTAAAAAAACATCCTAATTAACAAGAATTCAACTTTCATTGGAGTGTATTCATTTTTGCAACATGATCTTGGATTAATTTGTTAGAAAAAATACCTTTTTGTGTGTGTAAATGAACAAATCTTGTTTGGAACCAATGGCCCGCATTTGTGGGAGTATTTTATTTTGTAGTATAATGTCTCATAGAAAATGTTGATTCTGAAATGAAAGTAAAGGTTTTCTAACAAAATCTGTTGGGGTGTAGTCATGCTGAGCACTGTATATCATATTTACTTGTTTTAAGCAGCATTTCTTCAGTTATTTCCTGGTTTCCATGCCTAGGCAAATTATGTCATACATCCCAGGAGTCTTCAGGAGGGGAGGGGTTTTCTCAGTTAAGCACACCATCCTGCCTGCATGCTTAAGCTAATGGCAAATGGTTCCAGGAAGTAAATGTTACATGAATCATCTGCCCTTACAAAACATGGCCACGGCTAGAAATGTTAGGGGTGGGGTTCAAAGTAATTTCTCAGCAAAATAAAACATGTAGATATGGATGGATGTGGGAGTTTGCTTTGAATATGAAAAATTAAATATATAGCTTTTTTGGTTTGTGGCGCTCAGATGCAGTGTAGTTCCGCTTTAATGAACAAGAATGAAAATATTTGTTTCTCGTGCTGGACAAGACCAGTTAGAATTAGATACATTGTAAAATTTCTAAAAGCGCAATTGTTTTTTCAGCCACGTTATATGATGCTTTACTTTCTATCAATGCACTGTTTTTCTATTACAACCATTGCTACCAGGAATCATCAAATGATTCTTCTTTATAGGTAAAAGAGCTCTTGCACAATCTGAACAGTATTCTTTCAGACACAGTGAAAATGAGAGCATTCCAAAAAGACCCAGAGATGTTAATGGACTTGATGTACAGGTATGTGTAACGCAACATATCCAGCTCATTTTTTCCAATGCATACAGTTTTAAGAATAAACAGTTTTAGGCCCCTTTCACACGGGCGTTCTGTTTTTTTTTCATCAGTTCAGTCACGTTTTTTTCAAAGAAAAAACGAGTGAGTGTACATCCGCTTACATCCGTTTTCTCATCCGTTTTTCATCCATTTACATCCGTTTTTGGTCCGTTAATACCCCGTTCACATCAAGCCCAACTTTGAAACCATGTTACTTTGAAGTGGCACGATTTCAAAGTCAGATGAAATGCCGATTTCAGGTGCGATTTGCAAGACATCTGAAGTCAATTCACAAAAGGAAATAAATAATTAAATGCATGCGGTAATTAAGTAGTTGTCCAGGCATGCAGTATTTACTGTATCTGTCAGTACTGTCATGGGTTGTTAAGGAATGGGTGGCTGCCGAGTCCCTAACAACCTATAAGTCATCAGCTGTCAGCGGGTTCCCCACTGACAGCTGAATGTAAAAAAAAAAAAAAATTGCCGGCAATTAAAAAATGGCATGGGGTCCCTCCTCCATCCATACCAAGCCCTTCAGATCTGGTTTTTGATTTTAAGGGGAACCCCCATGCCAAAATTTAAAAATAAATGGTGTGGGGTCCCCTCCAAAATCCATACCAGACCCTTATCCAAGCATGCAGCCCGGCAGGTCAGGAAAGGGGGGGGACGAGCGTGCACCTCCTGAACCATATCAGGCCAGATGCCCTCAACATGGGGGGGTGCTTTGGGGTACGGGGGCTCCCCCCCAAAGCACCTTGTCCCCGTGTTGATGAGGACAAGGGCCTCTTCCCCACAACCCTGGGATGTGGGTGTGGGGGTCTGTGGGCGGGGGGCTTATCAGAATCTGGAAGCCCCCTTTAGCAAGGAAGTCCCCAGATCCTGCCCCCCCCATGTGAATGAGTATGGGGTACATGGAACCTCTACCCATTCACAAAAAAAAAACTGTAGTGTGAAAAAAGACAGGAGACAGTCTTTGACAAGTCCTTTATTAAAAGAAGAAAAATAAAAGAATGTCCCCTGAAATAGATCCAACATCACTCACGCTGCCCGCCACTGACACCACCCGAAAAAAAAGGAAAAAAAAGGCTCAATTCCCGACACTGGCTCCCTCTGTCTGATTGCTCCGCTGGCTTGACAGCTCCTAAATATGTAAGGGGCGGGGCCATCATGTATGTGCCCCCGCACCCCCCGTGTGACATCATTGACCCAGCATGCCCCAGCTGATGATATCACATGAGGGTGGGGTCACAATGGTGATGTCACCAGGTGGCCCCGCCCCTTACATATTTAAGAAACGTCAAGCCAGCGGAGCAGACAGTCGGCTGGGAGCCAGCGTCGGGACAGAGCCTTTTTTTTCCTTTTTAAGGGCGGCGGTGATTGACATTGGATCTACTTCAGGGGACATTATTTTATTTTCCTTCTTTTAATAAAGGACTTGTCAAGGACTGTCCCCTGTCTTTTCTCACACTACACTTTTTTTTTGTGAGTGGGTAGCGGTACTATGTACACCATACTCATTCACACGGGGGAGGCTGGGATCTGGGGGCCCCCCCGCTCACAGACATGGGCATGTGGCCATAAGATTCCAACCACGGCCCAGGGTTGTGTGGAAGAGGCCTTTCTCCCCAACAACATGGGAACAAGTTGCCTGGGGGGGCCCCGCCCCAAAGCACCCCCCCATATTGAGGCCATTTGGCCTGGTATGGTTCAGGGGGGGGCACTCGCTCATTCCCCCCCCCCCCTTTCCTGACCTGCCAAGCTGCATACAATCCATTGATATCCCTTGACATCCGTTTTTTCTCCGTTCCGGTTTTTTTTTTTGCAGAAGAAAAATAGGGTTTTCTTCCGTTCAAAAAAACGGATGTTAATGGATGCGGACATTACCAAATGTAAATGGATGATCATCCGTTTACATCCGCTAGTCCATAGAAATACATGGATGTCTGTTTTTCATCCATAAACAGACAGATGAAAAACGGACATATGGAACGCCCGTGTGAAAGAGGCCTTACACTTTTGTACATATCTATAGTTAACTGCAAACAAAAGTTCCCCTTCTTCATCAGTTTCTCCACACTGCACATGTTGACTATGTTTCTATCAGTGGCTGTTACAACTTTGTTTCCACTTGTTATATTCAGAGCATGTCCAGAGCTCATCCTGCCTAAAATACTAGTAATATTGTGGAAGGTTTGTTGTTCGTAATAAAGTAGGATACATATAAATATTACAGGAACTACATTCTTGGGCACAAAACAAAAATATTTTACTACAATCTTGAATTTAGCTTCGTTTTTGAATGTTCTCACTATATCCTGCTGAATGAAACACGGCTGCCATTCATGTCTGTTAGGCACTCTGAATGATAGCAGGCTTTTGTTAAGATTATCCTGATAATAAGCCAACCACACACAATTCTGCATTGCGGTTCACACTTGTGCGGTGCGGCATACCGCATGTGATTCGCACAGGAACTGCACCGCATTCCTGTGCAAATCACATGTGATTTCTGTGCGGTGCAATTTCAGCCATACATTTTGTATGGCTCAAATTGCACTGCATTTGCACCTAAAAAGTGCAGGACCCTTTTTTAGTCTGCACCTGAATCGGATTGCATGGGTGTTCCCACCCGATTCTGCACATCACATCAGTTTTGCGAACTGATTTCGAGGTGTCGTTAACTGAAAATACACACCCGCAGTGGTTCGTATGAATGGGGTGCGATTATGATGTGGTGCGGAAATCGCACAGAAACCGGTGCAAATTCCACATCACATCAGTGTGAACCCAGGCTCAAAATTCACCAACAGAGTCCAAAAGAAAATACTGAGCACTCATGGGCACCCTAGTTAAAGTGTATCTAAAGCCAGAATTGTTTTTCATTTTGAATGACATTTCTTATTGATGTTTTGGTCCCAGTTGGTAGGATTCATTCTCTCTATTTGTCCTGGTGATCACTGTACTAACAATAAAAATAGTTGGGAAAACCTGAATGTTACAGTTGTTGCCAGAACAAAAATAGAGGGTAAATGTTCCAATGGGGACACCCATACTGGTGAATATTCCTGTTCTGCATCCCAAACAGATTTAAGCATTAAAGAAAAAGTGATGGGGGTTCTATCCATTTCTTACTCTATCCACAACTAAAAAAAAAAAAAGTTAAAAAAAGAGCTGGATACACATTAAAGTGTTACTAAACCCACAGCAGTAAAATCAGTCTGTATATGCAGTAAAGCATGCTTGTTATACTCACTGTGGAACTTAGGGGTTAATACTCTACATTGTGTTAAAAGGCTGTTTGATCCTGTCTTCTCTGGTCTTCCCCTTCTTCTACTGTCTGCAATCCATCTGCTGATAGTACAGATCCCCTAAAAGGCACTCTGCACATTCTTAGTTTGGTGTGTATTGCTAGAGAGGTTTATTTTTCTTTTGGGAGGGTGCATATGATCAGCACAGGGCCAATCAGCAGTTTACAGAGGGTCAGGGGTCATGGAGCCTCATAGGACAGTCAGAGCAGAATGAATGAAAACTCTTCCTACAAGCTTTAACCGGTGCTCAGCTGACTGTCACAAGACTGCTAGAAGTCACAAGACTGCTATATACAGCTGGTGAGAGAAGGTATTTAGCTGTTTATACAGTATTTATTAAAATAATTGCATTTCCATGTTGTGTGTACTGTGGGAGACCAGATGTAGTGAATGTACAGGGTCCTGGGTTTAGTAACACTTTAATGTATAGAGTAAGCACACCACATAGCCAAACTGCTTTAGCAATAGGTTTGTATTAGACATATACAGTACATACAATCACCAGCAGGTACAGATAACCAAGTATGTCATCTAACATCAAGCATAATACAACAGAGATGTACACTCCATTGTTGAATCACAGCAAAGAACATGCATGCATATAGGTGCAATGAGCTTCGCTCGTTCTGTGTACTCTGGGAGACCAGATGTAGTGAATGCAGGCTCCTGGGTTTAGTAACACTTTAAGGTGAAGAATTGCAACACTTGCTGTGAATGGTAATGTAACTTTTCTCTTCCCCCTCTGGTCCCTTTTCTTGTAGTATGAAAAAGTTAAATCAACTCTAAATAAAATGAGATTTCTGAATATCTATAATCATAAATGTGTTTCAATTAGAATTGCTAAAGGTTACCAGACATCCCCAGATCTGAGGCTCACGTGGCTGCAGAACATGGCAGAAAAACATGTAAAGCGGAAGTATTACACCGAGGCAGCCATGTGTCTTGTCCACGCAGCGGCACTTGTAGCAGAATACTTAAGCATGCTGGAGGACTGTAGTTACCTTCCCGTTGGCAGTGTTAGCTTTCAGGTAAGATTATTATTATACAGGATTTATATATCGCCAACAGTTTGCTGAGCGCTTTACAATATAACGGGAGGCAATACAGCAAACTATACAGTTCAATACAAGAGGGTTAGGAGGGCCCTGCTTTTTGGCGCTTACAATCTAAGAGTACTGTGTAGCTATAAATTGTAGTCTCTGTATTAGGGCTCATGTACACTGCAGCTGATAAACTCATGTTTAGGAGCTGTTCAGCATTTTTTCAGCAGCCCCTGAACTCTCCCTAATGTTTTCCTATGTGTCCATGTACACATCTTCGTTTACCGTCGTTTACAGGCGTTTGAGTTTACAGTTGTTTTTTTGAACGTGGAAAACTTGCGTTCAGCAGTCGATTTTTTTCAGCGTTTCGAACGCAAAGCGCTTGTAAATGCGGCTAAACGCGGCAAATCGTGTTTTATAAGCGTTTGCGTTTGAAATTTTTTTTTAAACTCTTCCAGTTCCCAATGCTGTCCAGAGCCTTTTTATCATCATGAAAAATGCACGCAAAGCATTTTCAAGGTACTCAAATGGACAAACACTGAACACAGGATGTTCCGACCAAGCTTGACACACATTGTAATGACCAATTCACACCTCAGACCTCTCCCACCCTTGGAAACAAAAGATATGTCAATGACACCTTGAATTCCTCCTGAAGACCCCCTGCCAGATGCCCTTAATGACTCACTCCACACTCATGACTCACTTGGAAACAAAAGAAATGTTAATGAGCAACTCACACCTAAGCTAATTTCAACACATACATACTGCTGTCTCTGCTTCTACTCTCTGTATTTCTCTGAAACAGTCTGAAATAGTTAATATTGTATCACTTTTCAGTGCATTCTGGGCATTTGGGAGGTTCTCCTGTGCTTATCTTTAAAAACAGCTTCTAAACGCAAACGCTCATAAACGCATTATGCAAACGTGGCTAAACAGACATTTTTTGACCTATGTTTTCCAGCAGTCAGTTTCCATCGTTCAGAAGTGTCCTGTGTACATGGGGTCTTAGAGCTCAGTGGATTATTGGTTTGCCAACAGTTATGGTATTCTGAGATCTGTGAGTCCTATCAAGCCCTGACTGATTGCAAGTGGCTTTTGTCCTTTCTAAGTATTTGCTATTTTTGTAGTCCTGAACATAACACATTCAAGAGATATAAGCAAAACCACAACACATTCCCTGATGTGAATGATGTTATTTAATCAGATGGTCTTTGTAGCACACTTCAAGTAAATGAAGGCTGCCATTGCTGACACCCTTCTGAATATGGTATGGATTGTTATGATTTAATACCTTCTTATTTATGAACCTTAAACAAGTATGAAGTTCAGGAAAGTCAGAAGTCCATATTTGCATACTTCTTTAGGGCTAGTGGTTCAAAGTAATGAAGCCAGAGGGTCAACGTGACAGCCAGGAAACTAACATTTGCAGAATGAGAAATCAGCAAAAGCAGCCTCCGCATTCGTCTAAGGATAGGTTTCCTATTAGGATATATCAACACTCTATAAAAGGAAAAAACATATTTATTTAACCATACAGAAATTTAGACTATAGAAATGTTCTTTCTCTCAAAGTAGATTTCAGTTTGTGCATCTGGAGTAAGAATATTTGAGCCATTTTTATGGAGGATGCAGCAGACTGTACCAGCAATAAATTAATGTAGGCTCCTCAGCTCACATCACCCCCCCTTCCCCAATTATGTTCCAATAACAACAAAGGCCATGGGCAAAGTTTAGCCAATTCATTTCCAGGAGTGAAGTATGTGCACTACACATTTTTTCAAACTACGACAGTATATAGTGACCTATACACAAGGGTTCCTATTGCTCATGCAGGAAAGTCAGGACCAGTAAAGATGATATGGACCTAGAGAAAATTTAATTTTTTGCATTCCCTTTCTATTAAACGATGTGTGGACAGAAGGAATTATGGACACTAGCAAACAAAAATGCTATGAGTAAGCCAGGTATAACCTTTCCCAGTCCTATCCTGCTTTAATTTTATGGAACAGCAGCAGTGGAAGACATAGATCAGAAAGACAGAGAGATGGGACCTTTGTCCCTTTAAGCCCAGCTCCAGGTTTCATTTACCTTTAAATGGTTTGTACCAAACGAACAAATTCCTTCACTAATATATGTACTGTGTGTAGTGTCAGCTACATACAATGCACAGCAATGTGTTCCAGCAGTGGGATGAGAACTTCCCGTCCTGCTCCTGGAGCAAAATAGAAGGAAGATTTGTTTTTTATGAATGACTACAAGACTTTTTCTGATTGGCTGAGGTTGAGAAGGGGACAAATAACGTCATGATCTTCATTGAGCCACAGGACTTCTGCTTACTCCCTGATGATTGATATATGCCACTGCTGTGGCATTGTCAGACTGAATCCAAATCCTTGCATTCGAGAGGTCCAGCATTGAAGGGATAACTGAATCGCTCATGGCTCCAGTATGTTGACTGGGAGACAAGCCTCTTCCAGCATCCAAGCCACTTGTACCAGGAGGGTATCTAAGACTCCTCCCCAGCCTGTCAAGCTGGCATCTATTGTGCAAATGCTCCAAGCCAGTGAAAGGGAAGATTTCCCCAAATCGAATGCTGGACTCTACCTACTTGTCTCATGCAGCCAGAATATTGAGTTGTACCAGTCTAGAATATATTGTAATTAGGAACTGCCTCAAAGGATGCCACCATCAGGTCCAAACCTCTCATGTAAAAGCTAAGAGCTGGAAAATGTGGATTGCGGAGTCCGAAACTAGGAGCGGATAGTTTGGAGTTTTGTTTGTATTAGGTCTCATACAAATCTACTGTAGGAAGCAGTATAACCCATACATCTCAGAATGCCTTCTGCCCTGTGTCCCATAATAAACAATTAGGCTCCATGCACACTGGGCATTTTAATAATGCTGGTAACATTAGCCGTGTAAAGTCATGTTAAAAACATGAGTTTTTTAGCGTTTTTGTATTAGCGTTTTGCCGCTTTTTTTTTTGTGATAAAAAAAAAAAACCCAAAAACGCTGGTTTGCCACGATTTACAATGATTTACCACGTTAGAGCGTTTGTACAGCTAAAACCTCCTCTTGAAACCCACTAGTTCTGTTTTTTTTTGTAGCCAAAAAACTCCCCTGCCAAAAAACATTGATTACAGTCCATGTGTGCATGGACACATAGGATAACATGCTGGGGGGTTTACTGGCTGTAGGAAAAAATGTCAAAAGCCAAAAACAGCAGCTGTAAAAACGTCCAGTGTGCATGAGGACTTAAGGAAACCGTTTGTTCTGTTCCCTAGTCATTGGTGTCTTGTGGCTCCTTTTTATTTTTACTGCTTTGCAGATTGTTTCTGAATGCGCAATATAAGCAGGGGCGGACTGACCATTTGAGCACTCGGACACTGCCCGAGGGCCCGGGGTCAGTTGGGGGCCCCATGAGATGCCCCTGGTAACTTTTTTATAGGCTTTTTTGAGTGTGGGCAAGGACACAGGGTCCCCATGATCCCCTATTGCCTGGGGGCCCCATGAGTTTTCAGTCCGCCCCTGAATATAAGTAAAGAATTTTAAATGTTTTGCATTTTCTGCTTATCTCTGCACCACCAGCGGGGATTATTATTATTATTACTACGAGTTTATATAGCGCCAAAGGGTTTGCTCAGCGCTGTACAATAGGGGGGACAATACATGGCACAGTACAACAACAACAAACAACGTACGAGGGGTAAGAGGGCCCTACTCTTACGAGCTTACAATCTAGGGGATAAGAAGTGAACCTTCTGAAATCTAATCAGTTATGTAGGAAGTGTTTGTATCTTACAACAACTTGCCTCCATGTATGGATGTTTTTAGATATAGAAGGTACAGAAGTATATATAGTGGCTACATTGCACACAAAAGTATTCAGGGTTATTTATGTATTAGCTCTCATACAGTACTTTTACATCATCATATCTTGGAAACTCGTGTGTAAATTCAGTATCATTTACATGCAGGCAAAAAAAGACATCTAGGGATTGATTTACTAAAGGCAAATATACTGTGCACTGCAAGTGCATTTGCTCCAGAGCTTAGTAAATGAGGTAAAGCTTCACTTTGCAAAGAATACCCAATCACATGCAAGGAAATAAAAAAAGCAGCATTTTTGCTTGCAAATGATTGGATGATAGAAATCAACAGAGCTTTCAGAGCTTTCCTTCAGGTCCAGAGCAACTGCACTTGTGGGCGCACTTACTGTGCACTTACAGTGTACAATATATTTGTCTTTAGTAAATCAACCCCACAGTCTTATTCATATATATTTATTTTGAAAATGAAATATATGTGATCTTTGCAGAACATTTCATCTAATGTGATCGAAGAATCAGCTGTGTCTGATGACATCCTGACCCCAGATGAAGATGGAGTGTGCTCTGGAAGATATTTCTCAGAAAATGGACTGGTTGGGCTTTTAGAACAGGCCGCAGAGCTTTTCATTCAAGTAGGTTTTCCCCTTATATAAGGAAAATTGTTGCATTAAATAATAGACACTACATTTTCTACCAACTAAAGTGGTCCAGCCTGCCCTCCTCCTCAGCTCTTACAGTTACCAGTACTATTATAGGCAGTGACTGCAGGAGGAAGCTTACAGTGGTACATCTCAGTACCCTGTCATCTGCACTACAGAACCAGGAACAGGGTCATATGTGATACGATTAAGGCTGCATTCACACTTGAGCAGAGCAAACTTTGCGTTTTTTAGTTGTTTATGACCTTTGGTATTTTAATTATTAGCCAATAGAGAAAAATATCATCTGTCGCATCATTTATTGGTAGGTTGTTCAGATTTTTTAGCTTTTCTAGCAGCTTTTATATTTTTTTTAATTATTATTCTTTTTTTTTTTTTGCTAGGGTAAGGGATTAGAGTTAAGATTAGGTTAGTGTTAGGATTAGGTGTTCAGTTTAAGGTTGGGATTAGGTGTTAGGGTTTGGGTTAGGGGTTATTATTTTATTTATTGTCTTCTTATTTATTTATTCTTTATTTTTTATGTTAGGGTGTTAATAATAATAATACTAACAATAATAAATGAATAAATCTAAAATAAATAAAACATTTAAAAGAAATTATTATTAATAATTATAATAAAAATAATCACCCTAACCCTAAATAAATAATAATAATACATTATCATTAGCAATATTACTATTATTAGTCATTATTTTGTTTTGTCTGGGTTTGGGTTAATTATTACTATTATTATTATCATTATTATTATCATTAATAATAATAATACATTTTTAGGGTTAGGGGATTAAGGGTAGGGGTTAATTATTAATTACATATTATTAATTGTATTTATTTATTTATTATGATGATTTTTATTTATTTGTTTATTTTACATTTATTTATACATATATTATTACTAATTTTTTTTCTATTTTTTCATTTGAGCAGAAAATTGTGCAAAATAGCACAACAAAATGTGCAAAAGCGTGCAAATCTTCCATTTCTATTCATTGTTAAGGGAATAAAAAAAGGCACCAAAAATGCACAAATCTGCCCAATTTGAACTACAAAAAAGCTCCAGAACTTGTTTGAGCTTCCAGAGTTTGGCTTCAGGCGACTTGTGAACCATCTCCATTGAAAATAATTTATTTTTGCCCCTCAAACGTTTTGGAGCTTTGAGCTGCAAAATGCTCAGGTGTGATTGGGTCCTAAAGGAGGGATAAGAAAGAAAGTGAAAGTATTCCTTTTCCCTGTGAGTGTTTGTGAGTTTGGAATGACTACCTTTTTCAAAGAGGAAAGAAATAGTTATTACATTTACATTTGACTGTACTGTATTATGTAAAAAATTTTTAAACGCTGAAGTTCTTGAAAGAATATTAGAAGATCATTATTAAAGAGAATGTAGATTTCTGTAATAATGTCTCTAACACTAAAGAAATAGTAGCTGTAGCAAGAAAGTCATTCTAGATGAACATCACTGGAATGTCTAAAATATGTGTACTACATCTGAAAGACATTGGCGTTTGTGGCACATACTGTATATAGTGACTTAGTATTTGTACTTGTCTGTTACAGGCAGGATTTTATGAAACGGTGAATGAAGTGTATAAATTGTCATCCCTGTTTTTGAAGCACACCGAGACTTCCGTAAGCTTGCATTAACTCATGAGAAACTGCAGAAGGCGTTTGATCGCATAATACATAAGGTACCGTAAAGTGACTAGTATATTGTAAACGTGGGGGGAAAAAAAATCACAAAATATGGCTAATTTAATGGTAATTTGTTATAACCAGTAGCGTCCCTAGGTAGGTGCGGGGTGTGCGCACCTCACGGGGTGACACCTATCTCACGGGGTGACACCAAAAGTCAGATCCATTATGCTTCCCAATCCGTAGATCCGGTCCATCTTGCGTGGATTGTTGGCTTGCAACCTATACAGGGTTAACTAATCTTGCAACACCGGTCCAGGGGCTGCAATGGGGACACAGGAGCACGACAGGGACCACCCACCTCTGAAGGGGTGACACCACGTGTTACTGCAGCCAGTGACACCAACCCTAGGGATGCCCTGGTTCTAAGGGCAGTGCAAAAAGGACATATTGTGGCAGGATGGTTTACAGTAAAATTAATAAATGTACTGTAATCAATCTGCGCAGTGATAACATGCGTGGCTGCCGGCAAAGTTTGAAATATCCAAACCTAAAAACTTACGATATCGTGAAATGATGCAGCGCCTGTTTTTTTGTTTACTTACTTACAATAAAATAGTGATTGATTTGTTGTGGCACAGGCAGTTAAAAAATAAATTATATTTATGACATGTACTGCATTTGCTGGACAAATTAAGACCACCACAATGAAAATCTGGAATCTTGACTGATATTAAAGAGTTTCTGGGGCTCATTTACTGTGTGGGAGATTTTCTTTTCTTGCATATTATAACTTTTTTTGGAAACATGGCAAAGTAATCACCCACTACTTTCCTAAACCACCCTCATCTGTTATCTCTCCAGCCAGCACCACTTGTTATACTTTGGTTTGGATGCAGCCATGCTGCAGTTTGCTAAATTAAACAAATTGGGATGGTGTGGGCAAGGAGAAGTACTTTTTAAAAAAATGTACAACTACTAAAACTGGCGTATTTAATAAGGATTAATAACAGTTTGAATATTTTTTCACAAAAAGTCTTGTTCAAAGATATTGAATTTATAATTTATTAATAACAGGGCCAGAAAAGAATGTTTGGAACTTACTTCCGTGTTGGATTTTATGGAGCAAGATTTGGAGATCTAGATGAACAGGAATTTATTTATAAAGAGCCAGCAATTACTAAACTTCCTGAGGTTTCCCATAGGTTAGAGGTGAGTACAGTCCATGGCAAGTTAATTTACTTTGTAAATAAAAGTCTTACAATACCAGAGACATGGCATGATTAATATTTTCTTCATAAACAAAAAACGCTTTACAACACCCATCCTGATCCTAATGTGTTTGAGTTTCTGCTGTTTATCCTCTGGAGAATTGATTCATTTTTTAGCCTGATTGCTACGGTATCCTCTGAGAAAAGGCTGCTGCCAAAGTTATTTGGCTACCCTGTTTCCCCCTCCTCCATAAACATTGATATGCATGCTGGAGATTAAAATTAAAGATTGTTCAGCAATCAGTCATGTCTGCACTTCTAATTTCCATTTAATATCTATTACTTTAACCAGAAACGTCAAAGTGATTCAGTAGCGCAAAATAACACATAGAATAATCTCAAAGTAAAACTCTTAATGTAAAAAAGTCCACAAAAGTCCTTAATAGGCCCACAAAGTAAAACTCTTAATGTGAAAAAGTCCAGAAAAAATCCTTAATAGGCCCACAAAATCTTCCAATTCTCCAACACAAATCACCACGTGTGCAAAATAGATATAGTGTTCCCCCTTTCGGGCGTGCACTCACCAGACTGCCATGCCCCCCATTTTCATGGTTGGCTGAGTAGCTTAAAGATGTATATCCTAAAGGAAGAGGATCACCTCCCACTCAATGACACTCGCCATCTGCAATACACCAAGATCTCACTCACAGATGACATTTCATGGGTTGGTTGGTAATAGGTATAAAGACACTAAAGATGATGTACAGCCACTCTCCTTTCTCCTCTGCTGCCTTTTGGAATAGAACAAACTGGTCAGCTGCTTTTGGATCTGCCTGGTTAAATAATCTCCACAGGGTTCATGGTATGGCCCTAATTGTATGAGTATCAGGGCTATACCTCTTCCCATGCACGACTGCAGGACTTCTCCAGGTCCTCCCCCCATCCTCTGGAACTCAAAAGCCCCAATGATCAGTTGTCGCCTTCCCTATTCACATTCAGGCAGCAGAGGAGAAAGGAAAACCCATCTCTTTAGGGAAGCCTTTACCCCTATTACCAACGGCCATATCATCCCTCTATTGGAGACGGCGAGTGTCATTGAGTGGGAGGTGATCCTCTCAGCCATCTTTAAGTACCACTCACCCCCATGAGAATGAGGGGCATAGATTGTAAGCTCGAAAGGTAGGGCCCTATTACCCCTTTTGCACACTTGTTGATTTTGTTGTTGTACTGTGCCATGATTTTGTGGGCCCCTATTGTACAGCGCTGAGCTTTTTCCCTTTGAGTTTACTTTAATTAACTTGATGTAATAATAATAATTTTATTTTAATTACCATGAACCCTGTGGAGATTGATGAACCAGTTTTTCAGATCCAAAAGCAGCTGACCAGTTTGTTCTATTCCAAAAGGCAGCAGAGGAGAAAGGAAGGTGGCTGTACATCATCTTTAGTGCCTTCATACTATTACCAACCAACCCATGGAATATTCTGTGTATTGGAGACGGCGATGTCATTGAGTGGGAGTGATCCTCTCCTTTAGGATAAAATTAACATCTTTAAGCCTACTCAGTTTTTTAAACAAGAGAATGAGGGGCATGGCGGTTTGGTGAGTGCAAAACGCCCAAAATGGGGGTAACCTATATCTTTTATTAAAAACTTGGTGATTTCACCATTGAAAAAGATTTTGTGGGCATTAAGGATTTTTTCTGGGCTTTTTCACATTAAGAGTTTGTACTTTGTGGGCCACTTAAGGACTTTTTCTGGGACTTTTTCACATTAGTTTTATTTTGAGATTAATGTATATGTTATTTTGCGCTACTGAATCACTTTTGAAGTTTCTGGTTATTCTATTTTATTAGAAGTGGCAGCAATTATTTGAATATTATTCACATATCTTGTTTGGTACGTATTTTGTAGCGCAGTTTTTTGTTTTTTTATAAATGTCTATACTTTGTTTAAGCAAAATTAACATTTTTTGATAGTTTTTTAAACAGAAAAGAGTGATGTATAATTCAAAATTATAAATGAACTGGTTTGAGTAGTACCAATGAACTTTTTTAAAAAAAAACTTCACCATCTGAAAAATTGGCATAAGAGTTCCCATGAGGGTAGTTAGAGCTATGTAATGTCTTTGTTTCCACTGCAGAGCGTTTTATGGGAATTGTTTTGGGGAAGATGCAATAGAAGTGATTAAAGATTCAACACCAGTGAACAAATCAAAGTTGGATCCCAACAAGGTACACCATATTCAGTTTTTACAAAAATGTAATCGCAGCTTATGTTTACTGTGTTCACTGGTAAGTCAATATCCTGCCTTACTTTTCTTCAGGCCTACATCCAGATTACTTTTGTGGAGCCATACTTTGAAGATTATGAGATGAAATACAGGATGACCTATTTTGAGAAGAACTATAACCTGCGCAGATTCATGTACACCACACCATTCACTCTAGATGGGCGCCCACGAGGAAACTCAATGAACAATATAAGAGAAAAACTCTTGAGACAATGCATGCATCCCTACATCAAGACTGTGATTAATGTCATCCAGAAATAGCTGAGATCCGTTGAATCGCAGCTATTCTCTGTGTCATAAATGGACACCATAGTAAGATAAACAGTGGAGGTGACAAAAAAGGGAATGTACCTGTTTTTAAGGTGGTTGAACAGTGTCTAGTGAACAGTTAACATTGATCATTGTAGTTACTGCATGACTCCCCTATATAGTCAGGTATTTTGTATGTGTTTGTGAGACCTTGATTGACAAGTGATGGGTCTGTGTGGTTTTTAGTGTCATCCTCAGCTATTTTATTAAAGAGGATATATAAATTGTGAACATTCTGCACATGCCTCCCAAAAATATAAAAGTGCAATGGCATGGTTAGTCAGAGATAATGTGGACTTTATAGTGCAAGATTAATTTTTCTATCCATTTCCACTGATCCTCCTTGCTTGTTCATTTATATAAAGTTGCTTGAGCCTAGTTTACAGGGAACATGTTAGATTTACAGCTCTGAGATGCAGGCACAATCCAAAAATCTTCTAATGTCTTTGGGCAACATAAGACTACCAACAAAATCTAAGATGATCTCTCCTGGTCCTGCTCACAATTATCATATTGGGTAAAGACAGTTGATTAAAGGGAAAACTGAGACCTCAGCAGCCGTAGGTTGGTTGTATACAAGTAACAAAATGCTTCTGGTACAGCAGGAATAGTCAATCGCTAGACCAGGGCACAAGGTATATGCCCAGGGTACAGCTGGGTACATACTGCGGGGTGAACAGAAACTAAAAAACCTCACAGATTCTTGCATCCACACAAGCAACGTGGATGAAGGGATCTTCCCTGCTGAGTTATTGTATTCTGATAGCAAGGACTACCCCCTCCCCCTTCAGAATATACTGATCAGTGCTGCACCCATTGGCTGCAGCAGCTGATCAAATGCTGGTTTTCCATCAGGACCGTTTGACAAGACAAGGTTACATACAGATTGAAATTCGGCCAGTTCCCGCTGAACCAGCCAAATTTCAGTACATAAATACCCAGCTTTAGTATACACAAATGGACTTCCCAACATCATAACCAGCAGTGTTCATACAAAGTACAATCATACTGTGGTCAGATCTGCCACGTCTATGACTGACTCAAAACAACTGTTACCTGCCTTATCTGTGTATGGGCACCAATTCTTGTAAAGTTTTAATGAGGTCTACTGCTACAGATACAACAATACTACTCTTTGATCTAGGAAAACAAAACAGTGCAGGTTCTGACAATGTCACAATGTGCTTCATTGTATTTACACTGGCGGCCAGCTCACAATGGATGTATGTTTACAGAAAGATATGGTGCCATGCCTTAAATAGGATTGCTATATTAATGGCAACAGATGTATTAATTGTTCACAACTAACAGCTGCTTTATTTCATTCAATAGGATCATACATTTTAGCTCAAAATGAAAATTATTCACAATGATTTAAAGCCTGGCATTGTCTTGACATGTTCAATAGCAGCTTTTGCTGACACAGTATATGTTACCTATAGCACAGCCAAGAAAATCCAGTAATTCGATAAATTTGCCACATAAGTGCAAACTGGCAAATAGATGAGAACAGTGTATTGTGTTTTGAACTAAAATTAAAAAAAAGAAAAGCGACGTAACAACTGTGTAACATCGCATATTTTTTCTGTTCAATGTTAAATCACATAAAAATGTATTTAAAAATACATTTGTTTTTTAGTTTACCTTGACTCCAATAGAGGTTGCCATTGAAGATATGCAAAAGAAAACTCTTGAATTGGCTGTTGCTACAAGCCAGGAGCCACCAGATGCAAAGATGCTTCAGATGGTGCTGCAGGGTTCAGTAGGAGCCACAGTAAATCAGGTATGAAAAGAAATTTATTTAAATAATCTCACAAGTATCTTCTAAAGCAGGGGTGTCAAATGCAATTTAATTGGGAGCCGCATCAGTATTAGGGTTGCCTTCAAAGGACCGGTTGTATCAGACAGAGTGCAGGGTTCAGCTCTTTCACAGGCTGTCCACATCTCCTTCTTGGGTTTGACCTCTGCACCACGAAAACACAGCAAACTCTGTACTCCTGCACTTCAGGATGGACTCGGCTTGGGTTATGGTAACATCACAGATATCCTGGAAAATGCACTCCTTGCTGCCCTCAATAGACCAGGGTAGTCCAATGTCACTGGATACAAAGAAAAACAAACAACAGAGAGCACACCAGCCTAGTGCATTAATGTAAAAAAATGATTGGAAGAATAAAAAGTAAGTATCGTACTCACAATAGACAAACAGGTCAAAGGCATATCACACTAAACAGCTGTGTCCAATCCACATTGCATATAAATCCCAAAAAATTGAACTCTGGACTTCCAACAGGCTAATGCATTTCAAGGTCTCAACCTCTTCCTCAGAGTCACCTCTGCACCACTCTGCCACATTCTGGCTAAAAAAAAAAGTCCCGGGTGCGAGGGCCACATGAAAAGGCCTGGTGGGTCGGATTTGGCCCCTGGGCCTTGTGTTTAACACGTGTTCTAAAGTGTCCAACAGTACAAGAAATGTTATTGCTACTAGTAAGCAGCAGTATGTTTGCTTGTTTTGTTACAACCATGTGCATTGCAAAAAATACACTCAGCTCTCAGCTTTAGGGTAACAGTTTGGAAACAGAGGCAGAACAAAATAAATCATAAATAATCTATTATATTTTTTACATCAGCCTATAAATGAGCTATTTTCTTGTCAATCCTAGAACTACTACACTGGCATTTCATATGTTGAGCTGCAGAGCAATCAATAATTCATTTGATGGATATGTGCCTTTTTCTCAACCTATCCAGCTATAAAATAATGAAATTATGCTCTTAGTTCTGGATGACAGATTTTGTTACTGTGAGTTAATTTTACCTGCAGCAAGGACCAAAAATTTGGAAACAGTTTTAGCTATGCATGATCATTTGCCTAAGGCTGAATCTCCATGAGCTTTGAAAGGTTGTGCTTCATAGGTGTTTCAGATCCCTGCTCAGTGGTGGGTTCAAAAAGGTTTTCTGCAGTACACTCTGGTGTAGATTTACTAAAACTGGAGTAATAAGAATCTGGTGCAGCTGTGCATGGTAGCCAATTTATTTTATTATTTATTTTGGGCACTTATATAGCACTGTCAATTTATGCAGCGCTTTACATATATATTGTACAATTACATCAGTCCCTAATCATCAAGGGGCGTATAATCTAAGGTCCCGAATTCACATTCATACATATACATACTAGGGCCAATTTAGACTGTAGCCAATTCACCTACCAGCATGTCTTTGAAGTGTGGGAGGAAACCGGAGTACATGGAGGAAACCCACGCAGAAACAGGGAGAACATGCAAACTCAAGGCAGGTGGTGCCATGGTTGGGATTTGGACCAATGACTCTAGTACTGCCAGGTGGAAGTGCTAACCATTTAGCCACTGTGCTGCCCACAGCCAATCAGCCAAACCAGGAAGCTGATTGGTTTCTATGCAGAGCTGCACCAGATTTTGCACCATGCTGTTTTAGTAAATACCCCCCTGCTAGGCTAGTTGTCGTGGATTAACCTACTACCCTGATCTCCTAGCAAGCCTTGATACAATGGATAAAAGAGTAAATCAGACTGAGGCCATTTACTGCTAGCAGTTCTGTGTTAAGTGTGCATAGTCAGAGATGAAACGAAGCTACACCAAGTCCTACCTATGCATTCCAATGGCTTCCCACTGGCCTTAATATATGCAATTCTTGGCCATTTACTTGCATTGCTTTTTCTTTTATCTCCATTGTACCCAATACTCATGGAGACTCTGCCTTTATCTGTTCTCTGGCATTACAATTATTATGGTAGAGTTTTCCCCAATGCGACCTGTAATCATTGTTATACTACATTTGCTTCCAAACACAGTGGGGTTTATTTACAAAAGCTGGCTCACTCAGAATGTCATGCACTTCCGCATAGGAAACAATCAGCTTCCAGGTTTTATTGCTAAAGCTTAATTGAACAAGCTGAAGTTAGAAGCTGATTGGCTACCATGCACAGCTGCACCAGAGTTGAGTGAACCAGCTTTAGTAAATAACCCCACCGACTTTTGGACACACATGTCAACAAGAAAAGGCTTAGGCTCCATTCACACTTATGTGACTTGTCATGTGACATTGGTGTCCGAAGTCACATGACAAGTCGCCCCCCCCCCCCCCCATGTTTCCCAGTGGGTGCCATTCATATCTGTGCGACTTAAAGTTGCAGCGATTTCAAAGTAGTCCCTGCACTAGTTTGGTCTGACTTTCATGCGGCTTGAGGACCATAGACTTCAATGTAAACCCTCCAAAGTCACATGAAAGTCACACCTGAATGTTGTACATGCAACTTGCGTGTCACTTTGTACAGCAGAAACAGTTATCCTTGGTCAAAGCCAAAGTCGCACCAAAGTCACACTCATCCAAAGTCACATCAAAGTCACGCCAAAGTTGCATCAACATCGCAATGTACAGTCACGCGATTTTGAAGTTGCACAAGTGTGAATGGAGCCTTAGCACACAAGTCAGATGAAGGAATTACTTGTTTATCATGGTATAACAGAAGTGCAAGCTCTTATGCTTCTCCCTCTACTCCCAGTAATTCTTGACAAAGCACTAGGAGCAGCTGGTGAACCTCAGTGATATAACAGTATAAACAGTTTGTGCGGCAAGGGTTTAAAGGACATATCTTGTACATAATGCTCCTGCATGGTGAACAGGAAATTTGCAGTAATCATCAGCTTTTATTTACAGTACAGTTTGTAGTACATACAGCAAGATGTAAAACATTCTTAATGATTGGTATGTGATTTGCTATCATTAAAATATTGTCTGGTTTGTAGCATAATTGTTAAATGTTTTGGAAAACATTGTTATACAGCAGGGGCTCTAAAGAGCAAACTCCCATCTAATCATTCTCCTGTATGCATTTTAGGGACCACTAGAGGTAGCTCAAGTGTTTCTGGCTGACATTCCAGCTGATCCTAAACTGTATCGCCATCACAATAAACTGAGGTTGTGTTTCAAAGAATTCATCATGAGGTGAGTATAAAAGAACCTGAAGATACATTGTAAGATCCTAAGTGATTGTTTGTTACAGGGGTGGACTGACAACTCATGGGGCCCCCGGGCAATAGGGGATCATGGGGCCCCTGTGTCCTTGCCCAAAGTCAAAAAAGCCTATGAAAAAGGTACCAGGGGCATCTCATGGGGCCCCCTACTGACCCCGGGCCCTTGGGCAGTGCCTGAGTTTCCAAATGGTCAGTCCGTCCCTGGTTTGTTATATATAAATGTACATAGTATACAGACCATTCACTGTCCGTAATTTACAGATAATTTACATAAATAGTGGATTTACTATATTCCTTCAGAAATATAAACAGGACGGGAACTTAGCAAATTAGTGAACAAGAGAATGGTAGAAATAACTAAAGAAAATATGTGAAGGTTTTGGCTGCATGAAAGCTTAAATACTGTATATACTATATAATAAATACTGTATAATAATAAATAGAACCAGCCATGGCTGAGCTTATGCAGAAAATATTCAAGTGGTCGTAAAACTGCTTTTTTTCTAAAAGTAATAAACATGTAATACTTACATGTTCTGTGCAGTGGTTTTGCACAGAGTGGCCCTGAACCTCATCTTCTGGGGTCCCCCACCGGTGATAATGGGGTCAATTCTCTAAATGATTTTGCATGCGATATGAAGGTCACGTGACTTATTTTTCAGAAATATCGCATAAGATAATAAAAGAGTCAATTCATCAAAGTAAAATATCAAATGTGAGGTAAATACCGCAAAAAAAGAGAAAAATCATTAACGTCAATTCACTAAAGAACATACACATTTGTTATTTATCAGCTGCCAGTAGGTAGTCAGTATTTTAGCAAAATGTACAAAATAACAATGAGGGGAACTCTGCACTGGCCAGGAAAGTAAAAGTATACAATGTATCAGTGTGGAAATGTTCTGCCCTGAGCTCAGGAATGGAAATAAATGGTAACATTTCACCAAAGGGAGATTGTTCTGTGAATGAAAGTACACTAGAATATTTTCAAAGCTACATTTAAGTGATGACTATTGCAAAACCTAAATATTTAGCACATTTGGTAAATAACGCATGTTTTTTAGTGCACTGACTACTTTTGAGATAAATACCGCATGAGTTACTTTAACTCAAAAATTAATGTGATGTTTATCTCTTAGTGATTTGATCCCCCCTTGGCTCTTTCTCTTCTCCAAGTGCCCCCATAGCAATTTGCAGCCACCTTAGCTGGATTTTCATGGAGTCAGAGGTCACCTGAAGTTGCTCTGACAGCATTTGATCTTGCCATTGAGTCATCTAATTTCGGTTGAATGCCCTTATAATTGTGTCCAGACCTGCTACTTTGGAATTCCAGACAAATTAAATAGGTTTCCTTTGTGCCTAAAACATGCTCATAGCAATATGTACCATTTAATACCCATTAGTGATTAGAAAATTGAACGATCATTCTGAAAACAAAAATGTTTTATCAACATTTTCAACAAAATTCTACTAATTTATGCCAAGCTTTATAAGACAGTGTGGGAAGTCAGTTGAAAGGTCAGTAACTGGCAGACTTCAGGTAACTGCCATCTCTTTGCTTACCATAACAATGTGGCTGCTCCCAAATGTCTATCCTACCAGTTTCCACTTTAAAAATGCCAAAATATATATGCTGATATTTTTTTCAGTTTAACCACATTTAGAAAAAATGGGAACAATAGGTACTGATTGGGATGTAATGGTAGAGACTAGGGATGCACCAATACCATTTTTTAATAGGTGAGTATGAGTCCCGAGAAAAAGAGAGAAGACTCCTCTAAGTGCAGTATTGACAATTTATTTAGTAAACTTACAAGATAAACGGTTAAAAAGACTCATCGTGTGGATCAGGAAGTAGAGTCCAGGACAGCAATGGGCAAACTACGGCCCGCGGGCCGTATACGGCCCGGCGGACCTTTGAATCCGGCCCGCGGAGCTAGGCTCCCGCTAGGCTCCTCTCACAGTCCGCCGTGTAGCATGAAAATCTGTCTCCTATGAGGATCTGTCCCCCTCGACGTATCTGCGCATGTGCCGGAGATCGCCGATCGGCTGCTAATGCCTGAAACTGGCACATGCGCAGATACGTCGAGGGGGACAGATCCTCATAGGAGACAGATTTTTATGCTACACCGGAACGGCGCGGGAACACGGCGACAGGAGCAAAGGTAAGTGAATTGACACAGGGGGGACTTGGGGACTTAATATGGGGAATGAATTACTATATGGGGGATGAATTACTATATGGGGGATGAATTACTATGGGGGATGAATTACTATATGGGGGATGAATTACTATGGGGGATGAATTACTATGGGGGATGAACTATATGGGGGATGAATTACTATGGGGGATGAATTACTATGGGGGATGAATTACTATATGGGGGATGAATTACTATGGGGGATGAATTACTATGGGGGATGAATTACTATATGGGGGATGAATTACTGTATGGGGGATGAATTATTATATGGGGGATGAATTACTATGGGGGATGAATTACTATATGGGGGATGAATTACTATGGGGGATGAATTACTATATGGGGGATGAATTACTATATGGGGGATTAATTACTATGGGGGATGAATTACTATATGGGGGATTAATTACTATGGGGGATGAATTTACTATGGGGGATGAATTACTATATGGGGGATGAATTACTATGGGGGGGATGAATTACTATGGGGGATGAATTACTATATGGGGGATGAATTACTATGGGGGATGAATTACTATATGGGGGATGAATTACTATATGGGGGATTAATTACTATGCTTACTATGGGGGAATATTACTATACTTACTATGGATGACACATACACATCATTCATCTACTCTTGGTCCGGCCCCCGGGTCCAATATATGAACCCATTGCGGCCCTCAAGTCAAAAAGTTTGCCCACCCCTGGTCCAGGATGTGCCTGTGCATCAAAAATGAAGCTTGGAGAGCAGAGTCAGATGTAGCAGGCTCCTTGGAAGAAGGAGCCTATTGAGCATGCTCCGAAATGCATTACCGCCCCCTTCACCTGCTACATCTGACTCTGCTCTCCAAGCTTCATTTTTGATGCACAGGCACATCCTGGACTCTACTTCCTGATCCTATAGGCATAGTTTGCTGCTGGACGGCTGGATGTCCCACCTGGATCTAATTTCCACACGATGAGTCTTTTTAACCGTTTATCTTGTAAGTGCAAATTTTCCATTGTTTACTAAATAAATTGTCAATACTGCACTTCGAGGCGCCTTCCTCTCTTTTTCTTGTTACTGCATTAGAGCCTTGCTTCCACTCTAAGAAGATCGGCCTCAGTGTTACTGCTCCCATCCATCCCTGATATCCATCTGGCACCTTTACCTTACAGCTATAGAGGTTGGGCTCCAACAAGCGCGCCCTATATAATATACATTTTCTGAGTATGAGTACCGATACTTTTCAGTACTCCCCAATACCAAGTACCAATACTTTACAATATAAAATGTATGGACGCAAATTGCGCTGCAATAGAATAGCATACGATTTGAACAGGAATGCTATTCCTGTCCAAATCGCATGCAGTTTCCACACTGCTCCTATGGGAACCCAGGCTTGTCATAGCCTGAGTTCACACAGGAGCAGTGCGGGAAACCTCCCTATACTGGTCCCATGCTGAGCAGAGAGTGGGAGAGAAAGGCTGATGCTCCAGATTCTCAGCTGTAGAAGAGGAGAGAAAGCCGTGGCAATGCTCCAGATTCTCAAGTGCAATGCTCCAGATTCTCAACTCCTCTCCCTGCAGGAATGATCATAGAGGCTAAAAAATAATCCCCTTGGCTTTCGCTCTTCTTAGTGCAGGGATGACTGTACGGTCTAGACGGCTTCTGATTGGTCAGCACCCTGATGGTGCTGACCAGTCAAAAGCCATCTAGCCCATACTGTCATCCCTGCAAGAAAAAGAGAGAGAGCCGCGGGGCTTCTGCCACAGCTGAGAATCCAGAGCATCTGCCTCCATCCTCTGCCTATTAGTTGGCATATACATCCCACAAGCCCTTCTCTCCCTCTCTCTGATTAGAATGGGATCGGTGCAGGGAGATTTCCTGCACTCCTCCTGTGTGAACAAGCTTGGGTTCACACAGGAGCAGTGGGGAAACCGCATGCAATTTGGACAGAAATAGCATTCCTGATCATATCGTGTGCTATTCTTTGCGGTGCAATTTGCGTCCATAAATTTTGTATAGACACAAATCGCACTGCAAAGTATTGGTTTGGGTATCGGGAGTATTTTCATGCTGCAGTGCTGTTACTGTAAAACGTGCGCTATTCTGCTGGGCAAAGGTTCAGTACTTCAGGGTAGTGACAGGGCTTACCACTATCTCCTATCCCCTGGAGTCTTATTGGTCCATCATGCTGGATTGCCTTAGTGGCCAATATTAATGTGGACTATAAGGATTTGCCAAGGCTTTGCCTGTTAGAACAGGTGGGTGTTGAGGGCAGTTACAGGGTATGTTGTGCTGCTGCACTTTATCCCTGTAGCAGGTTTCTTTTTTTTTGTGCAAACTTTATTCTGTGACCTCACTCTTATTTATATTATGTTTCTGGTACAAAGAGTAGAAATATTTACCAAAGAAAGAGGCTTTTTTTTTTCTTTTAAAAAAATGTAATATAGGAGAAATTGAAAAAAAAGTTTATATATGGTTAAGAGAAAAAAGCTAGTGGAAGAAAGGGTGAAACGGATTAATAGGAAAGTTTAAAAAAAGAACATTTTCAATAATGATAAAAAACAAAACAAAACAAAAAAAAAAAAGTTTTTTCACAATTGCAGATCTGTTAGGACTGACATTATGTGCAGATCAAAGGGCAACAGTAATAAAATTGCATTGTAACTATATGTTATGATGTATTTAATATAGAATCCTAACTGCTGTTTATAGGCATTATGCATAACAGAGCTGCTGTAAATGATCCTGATAAACATAGTGAATCCTGGCTGTTAAATTGACAACTGAGCCGCATGGTTTACAGTATGTTGTTAATGCAGCTTCCCCATGATCATGTGTAGGAGAGGTGGGTCACCACCTTATTACAGTGTCTCTTTTGCCTGTGCATTGGCCTGGTCTTATCCACAAGTGTAAAGGAATCTTCCCACAATTCCAATAGCTCGATGAAATCATTGACAATTTCTGATAAACAAAACGATAGACACAATAATATCTTCAAAATGACAATTATTTATCAAATTTGTCTGAGAATCTGAAAGGAAATAACTATTAAAAGCACACCAGATAAAATCTCATGTATGCAAATTAAATTAAAATCATAACTTTACATGACTTCTACAGTAACTTCCTCATACATACATACAGTTGGTAACAATGAATTTCCTTTTTCAGGTGTGGTGAGGCAGTAGAGAAAAAACAAGAGACTTATTACAATTGATCAGAAGGAATATCAGCAAGAACTGAAGAAGAATTACAACAGACTGAAAGAGAATCTCCGGCCCATGATTGAACGCAAGATTCCCGAGTTATACAAAACAGTGATAAAGACTCCAAGTGACACAAGGTGTGTTTTTACAAGTGTAATTCATTCCTTCAACAATATTTTAAGTAAAAAAACAATGCAGGCTACAGCTTTATCAGATGTTCTCAGCAAACAGTGCCTGCTGAAAGATCCTGGGAGAACTGTCAAAGAATGCCTCAGCTTATCCTGAACTGCCTCACTGTGGCCCTTCACAATCAATAACAATTTATTTATTTACCTTCATTGCTCTTTATTGCACATTCAAAACTCCTTATTTCCAAGGCCAGTCATGCAGCCCCAAATGATCAATGTTACAAATTTTTAAATAAATAGATGTTCTTCCTTGACATCTATTAATCCTGAGGCTACCTTTATATGGTATGCAGGGGCGTCCCTAGGGTTGGTGTTACCCGGTGAGGTAACACGTGGTGTCACCCCTCCAGCAGTGGGCAGTCCCTGTCGTGCACACACAGCCTGGCTCTTCCCCTCCCTGTGTCCCCGTCGCACCCCCCAGACCGGTGTTGCAAGATCAGTTAACCCCGTATAGGTTGCAAGCCAACGATCCCCGCAAGATGGATCGGAACTGCGAATTGGGGAGCATAATGGATTGGACTCCTGCAACCTATACAGGGTTAACTGATCTTGCAATACCGGTCCGGAGGGGTGCGGCGGGGACACAGGGAGGGGAAGAGCCAGGCTGCGTGTGCACGACAGGGACCGCCCACCTCTAGAGGGGTGACACCACGTGTTACCACAGATCCGATCCATTTTGCGTGGATCGTCGGCATGCTGTAAAACACTTTGGTGTCCCGTGAGATAGGTGTCACCTGGTGTGGCGCACACCCCCCACACCCACCTAGACGTCACTGCACATATGCCTTGTGTAAATGCTCAGTGAAATGTGTTGCAGTGCCATTTATTCTAAATAGCACCCTAATGGGCAGCACAGTGGCTGGCACAGTTAATACTTCCGCCTGACAGCATTAGGGTTGACGGTTCAAATCCCAACCACGGCAATACCAGTCTGGAGTTTGTATGTTCTCCCTGTGCCTGCATAGGTTTCCACGTAGATGCTGGTAGATTATTTGGCTCCTTTCTAAATTGCCCCTAGTGTGTGTTTGTGTGTGAATGTGAATTAGGGAGCTTAAATTGTAAGCTCTGTACGTCCCTGATGTGAATATACAATATATATATATGTAAAGTGCTGCACAAATTGACGGCAGCAAGCAGCTTGCTGTGGGGGCACCTGACAGACAGGAGGAGCCAGGAGAGCCTGCGGGGGACCGGAGAAGAGGAGGATCCAGGCTGCTCTGTGCAAAACCACTACACACAGTAGCAGGGGAGGACTGACCATTTGGAAACTCGGGCACTGCCCGAGGGCCCGGGGTCAGTAGCGGCCCCATGAGATGCCCCTGGTACCTTTTTCATAGGCTTTTTTGAGTTTGGGCAAGGACACAGGGGCCCCATGATCCCCTATTGCCTGGGGGCCCCATGAGTTGTCAGTCCGCCCCTGCACAGTAGGTAAGTATAGACATATTTGTTATTTTCACAGAAATAAATTAACCTTTAGAATCCATGAAATATGAACAAAACATATACAGTCATGGCCGAAATTGTTGGCACCCTTGATATTTCTCCAGGAAATCATGTATTTCTCACGAAACGTATTGCATTAACACATGTTTTGCTATACACATGTTTATTCCCTTTGTGTGTATTGGGACAAAACAAAAAAAGGGAGGAAAGAAAGCAAATTCGACATAATGTCACACAAACCTCCAAAAATGGGCTGGACAAAAGTATTGGCACCCTTTCACAACTGCGGATAAATAAGAATGTTACAAGCATGTGATGCTCCTGTAAACTCACCTGGGGCAAGTAACAGGTGTGGGCAATATAGAAATCACACCTGAAAGCAGATAAAAAGGAGAGACGTTCACTTAACCTTTGCATTGTGTGTCTGTCTGTGCCACACTAAGCATGGACAACAGAAAGAGGAGACGAGAACTGTCTGAGGACCTGAGAACCAAAATTGTGGCAAAATATCAACAATCTCAAGGTTACAAGTCCATCTCCAGAGAACTAGATTTGCCTTTGTCCACAGTGCGCAACATTATCAAGAAGTTTGCAACCCATGGCACTGTAGCTAATCTCCCTGGTCGTGGACGGATGAGGAAAATTGATGAAAGATTGCAACGCAGAATAGTCCGGATGGTGGATAAGCAGCCCCAAACATGTTCCAAAGACATTCAAGCTGTCCTGCAGGCTCAGGGAGCATCAGTGTCAGCGCGAACTATCCGTCGACATTTAAATGAAATGAAAGCTATGGCAGGAGACCCAGGAGGACCCCACTGCTGACACAGAGACATAAAAAAGCAAGACTACAGTTTGCCAAAATGTACTTGAGTAAGCCAAAAGCCTTCTGGGAAAACGTCTTGTGGACAGATGAGACCAAGATAGAGCTTTTCGGTAAAGCACATCATTCTACTGTTTACCGAAAACGGAATGAGGCCTACAAAGAACAAAAACACAGTACCTACGGTAAAATATGGTGGAGGTTCAATGATGTTTTGGGGTTGTTTTGCTGCCTCTGGCACTGGGTGCCTTGACTGTGTGCAAGGCATCATGAAATCTGAGGATTACCAAAGGATTTTGGGTCGCACTGTAGGGCCCAGTGTCAGAAAGCTGGGTTTGCGTCCAAGATCCTGGGTCTTCCAGCAGGACAATGACCCCAAACATACGTCAAAAAGCACTCAGAAATGGATGGCAAAGAAGCGCTGGAGAGTTCTGAAGTGGCCAGCAATGAGCCCAGATCTAAATCCCATTGAACACCACTGTGGAGAGATCTTAAAATTGCTGTTGGGAAAAGGTGTCCTTCCAATAAGAGAGACCTGGAGCTGTTTGCAAAGGAAGAGTGGTCCAAAATTCCGGGTGAGAGGTGTCAGAAGCTTATTGATGGTTATAGGAAGCGACTGATTTCAGTTATGTTTTCCAAAGGGTGTGCAACCAAATATTAAGTTAAGGGTGCCAATACTTTTGTCCAGCCCATTTTTGGGGTTTTGTGTGACATTATGTCATATTTGCTTTTCTGCCTCTGTTTTATATTTGTTCCAATACATACAAAGGGAATAAACATGTGTATAGCAAAACATGTGTTAATGCAATACCTTTTTTGTGTGAAATACTTGATTTTCAGGAAAAATATCAAGGGTGCCAACAATTTCGGCCATGACTGTACCTCTATAGTGTTTACTTGTCTCAATTACAGTAAGAGCACTAAAGCTGGCTATAGATGGATCAAAATTCGAATAGTTCAGCAGGAGCCAGACGATTTTCGATCCATCTATGGGCAGGCTCAGTACAAGCCTGTCGTTTTTTTTTTCATTCGATCACTACTTGCGGCTATAGCTGCCAACAGTGATCATTGTATTTTGGCAGCCAGGAAACCTCCCAGTGTCAGAATACAATAGCATACCAGGAGGGATTCCCCCATCAACACTGACTGTGTTGATGGGAGAATCAAGAAAATTGCAAAATGTATGGCCTGCTTTAATGTAATTTCTGTCTGCTGCTTCATTCCTCTGCTATCAGCATGAATCACTTCTGACAAGTTTTCCTGACATCAAGAGAAAAATGGTGACGGGGAGGGACCTCCAGCGCACATCCAGTGATTGACAGCCTCAGCTCTGCTCCTGTGTGCCATGTGAAGCGGATGTGTCCCTTCCCTCCAATCAGCTCTCAGAGCTCACACTGAGCTCTATAGTGTGGAATTTTAACTCTCTGCCCCATTTTCTGAAATATCAGACAAGGTTTATAACTTCTGGACTTAGAACAGAGAGGAGAAGACAGCAGATAAACAGATACAATGTATGTTGGAGGATTTGTTTAATCTCTGTGATCCACCTAAAGCCAGTCATTTCACTGGGTATATATAAGGCCGCTTTTACACTGATGGTCTGATCGGATCTGCCCATCACGTTTTTCACATCGGACCCAACTGGACCATCCATAGCTCTCTATGGAGCTGCGGGTGTCAGCGGACATGTGTCCGCTGACACCCACCAGCATACGTTCCGATCCTGTACATTAAAAACAGACAGATAGGGATCCATTCCCCATCCATCTGGTGGATCGAATGACAGTCAGGTGGAAACGGACAGGCGGTCCGTTTCCAATTGACCGCCTCATAGAAAACAGCGGGCCGTGTCTGTGTCTGCTCTGCGGCAGCAGAGTGGACACAGACCTGTCATCCCCCACTAAGCAAGTGGATCCGCTGATGGGTCCGCCATGTCTGAAAGGGGCCTTAGGGTTTACAACCGCTTTAACACACAACATGACACATGTGAAGCAGAAGTGTGAAGGGACCCTTTGTAAAGTTCTTTCTCCTCTTAGCTTTTTTTTTTTTTAACAAAAGCTTCTAAACCATGTTCACTTTGGACTAATTGTGTAAAAACTCTTAAAAGAAGCAGATAACAGATAAAACAGGAGAAGGAAGTGTAAAGACAGAGCCCACTCTAGTGTAGTATTAGTAAATAAGGATCAGTTCTAACAAAGAAGCAGAAAGTAGTTCCTATTTGCATCTCTTAAGACTGCAAAATATCATGTAGGTGGTCCAAAATCGAATAGATCACAAGGTGCGTTGAAAAATATGCCAACCGCATTCATAGCAAAGGCACCTAACCGAGACTTACAACATATTTATCAATAAACAGCAGTTTCTTTATACAAAGGGATTCATAACATGTTTTCTGGCTCACAGACCACTTTATTCAAATTTAGCTGCTTAGTCTGGCTGAAATTCCAGCTGACGACAGCAGGGAGATGTGTAGCAGTAAGGTGGCTGAGTGCTCTCTAAGATTAAGGCTCTTCTTCATTTTACATAGCATGCAGCTGTTTCACTACGACACATTAGTCACTGCTGAGAGCATGAATTTCAATCAGTTTTGCTGTACCCCTAATCTGAAGAAGTGTGCTGTGAGCCATGTAATGTGCTATTTGGGGGTATGAATCCTTTTTAATAAAGAAACTACCTTGTCTTCCAG